GACAGTGTGGTGGTGAGAGCACTGTGCTAGGAAGTCAGAGCTGTGGTCAAATCCCAGGTGGGTGAACAGGACATAAAACCTGGGTCTGCTGCTTTTTAAGCAAGTGTTCTCCAGTCAGCACTTGGGTCAATAGCACTAGTTATGCATTTTTTCCAGTTACACTTTTATGGATTGTATACAGGACATGCGTATGTACCTACTTCCTTGTCCAGCCAGTGCATAGACCACTGACCATTCACACTGCGCCAGTAATTAAAAGGCACACTCTGCGTAAGTGTCAAGAAGGCTACTTATGTAGCTAGAAAACTGTCATTTAGGTGCAAAAAGCACCATTAGTGGGACTGATATGTACAATTTGGCTTATTCCACTGTGAAAGTGGAGTAAGCCACCTCTCATTTCCAAGTGAGAACGGTCACTTGGAAAGTTAGTGGAGGTGATAGCATGTTTTAAATTCACACCCTAGCTGAGTGCACACTAACTTCCTCATGTAGATACCAGTAAACTCTTGATCCATGTTGAACCAACAGCTACTGCCTTACAGAAGATCCTGATTTTCATAAACTATTGCCTCCATCAGATAAATTCAGCATAAATCCTCACGTCCCTTAACTAAGCATAGCTCAAACCGTAGTTTTCCCCAAGTAACTGTGATGAAAATCAGCCATTATGTAAATCGGACATATTTAGATGTTTATAAGCCATAATATAGTTTTAGTTAAAATTTGCTTATTCTCACTAATACATTTTAAATTTTTTTCCCTCATTTTGAAGTTTTTTAAGCCAGAGGGACGTGAAAAATCACAAGCTTCAGAGCATGAACATTTTTCAGGTTAAAATAGATTAGAACTTGGAAATGGCTGATTTTCTCAAAATCCCTGAGGACACAAGCTTTGCTAAGAGATTACGGACTGAAAAGCCAGGCAGCTTCAGTGTTTTATAAAACTGGAACTGTTACTCTAAGTGTAAAATTGAAGACAGCTTAACTATTGGGATGCAATAGCAATTTCACAGCCATCTAAGTAAAGCAGCCTCTCCATGCTTCAGAAAGCAGCAATCCACAAGCACTTCAGACCACACCCAATACAATATATCAGGCAAAGCCTCCCCACATGACATCAGTGGAGATATGTACAATAGGTTTTTTTCATGATAATGGTTTAAATAATGTAGTGCAGGAAAATCATTTAAAGCAGGGGTGTCAAAGAAATAGCCTGCAGAGCCACATCACTTGGCCTCTGGTGCTGGTCCCACATGGAGCAAATCCAAGACCCTCCTCCCCCACTGCATCCCAGATCCAGTGCCTGTGGCACCCACTCTGACTGATCTGGGATGCAAGCCACACATGGTGCCCACTCCAGCCAGTCTGGGTCAGGTGCCATGCACAGTGCAAGTCCTGGAGTGGGCTCCATGTGTGATGCAGTCCCAGACCAGCCAGAGCAGGTGCTTGATCTGGTATGGGGTGGGGAGGGGGAGAGGGTGGGTCCCCCTGCATGCTAGATCTGGTGCATGCTCCAGCCAGTCTGGGACCCGCTCTGCATGCAGCATCCTCCCTGGACTGGCTGGAGTGGGCACCATTTGCTACTCATGAGCCAATCTGGCCTGATCTGGAGCCAGGTGCGGTGCACTTCTAGACCAGTTGGAGCGAGTGTCATGGGGGGACCCACACCATGGATAGCCTTCATCTGGCCCAATGTGACCTTACACCATGGATAGCCTTCAGGGCCAGATGAGTTTGACATGTCAGCTTTAATGCAACTGTCCAGGTTGCAAAGTAAAGTGAGAAGAGAAGACATCAATTTATTACACCAACTATTGATTCAGTATCATGCAGGTTGTGTGATATGAGTCTGAGGCAGACAAGGGCAGATCCAGGGAGGAGGCGCAATGGTGCAGTTGCACCCCGCTTTGAATCCTGCTCCACCCAAAGTTCAAAATGAACTGTTTGGCAGTGGCAACAGCATTTCTATTCAGGCAGTGCTGAGGGAGTCAGTTGACTTCCTGGCTCATAATCTACCACAGGGGTTTTCAACCCTTTTTATCTAGTGTACCCCTTTTGTCTCAAAGTTTCAGGCAGATATAAGGCTACACTAATTAACATTAAATGCAGAGGGAGAAAAAATTATTTGGGGAGACTGAGCGTGCGTGTGCATGCATGCACATGTCCCACCAGCAGTAAGCCTGTGGGGGAGGGGAAAAGGCTGGGGGAAGGGGGGGTGCAGATTGAGCCCCCGTGGTAAGGGAGGGATTGGGGCACAGACAGGGGCTGGGGTGAATGGGGCCCCAGCCAGGCTGGGTGGTGGGACAATCAGAGCCTGGGCAGCTTGTGCAGGGGCATAGGGGGGCTCCTGCTGCTGCACACACCTTGGCGGAGGCCTGGGGGGGCATGTGCCCTCAGATCTGTGTGGGGTGGAGGTGGCAGCCACTGTGCGCTGAGCTTTGTGTACACTGCAGCTGCCCCTGGAGCCGCGCAACGCCATGTGCATGGTGGATAGGGGGTGGGCAGAGGGAGCAGCGCAGCCCAGCGGCAGCAGGCACATGGCATTGCATTACTCCTGGGGCAGCTGCACTTATTTGATAAAATGTATGCTTATTAGATCAAATTAAATGCAATAAAGTTAATAATTTTAAAACAGTAATTTTTTCTCATTTGTTCTGCATACTCCGTACGACCTTTTTAAGTACCTCTAGGGGTATATGTACCCCCGGTTGACAACCACTGTAGTCTACCAAATCTGTTCTGAACTCTTCATTCCACAAGTGTTAACGACCCTCTCTCCTTCATACTGGTCTTGATGGTTCCCTAACCAAGCTATTCTTCCTTCTGCAATTCTGCTCTCAGCTGCTCCTGTAGCTCCTGTTTCACAGCCCTGCAGACTGTGTTTAGCTGGAAACATGAAGTCAGGGATGGAAATAACTTGCACCAAGCAGAGAAGGTGCTGCCCAGATGCTCGAGGTGAGGCTTGGTTTTATGTATCTGAGCAAGAGAGGGACATTTCAGTCTCATGACATGGGGTTGAATGAAACAGCATCCTTTGAGAATATCTTGCCTGCTCTGTTGGGCTTTTGTCTCAGAGCTGCAAAGCGGGGGCCTACTTCAGTCCTGCCTTGTGCTTTTACACGTTATACCCGATGCAGCAAATGAAGCACACTGCAATACAACGGCTTCTCCTCCTTGTACCTTGAACAGGACAACAGTCTTGCCCCTAGCTCCTCTTGGACCGAGAGCAAGATGCATTGGGTGCTATGGGATGATGTCCTATGCATGCCATCCACACCCCACTTTTGACCTGCCCCCAGGCCTGGGGGCTGAGCCACTAACAGCCGCAGCGGAGTGGGATCTGTGCCCTTTCATGGCCCCTAGGGGCGCTTGGGACTCAGCACCAGTCAGTGTTGCCAGGTCTTAAATATAAAAGTATTGGAAGCTCAAAATGATATTTGATGAAAAACTATTGTACACTGAAAAAAATATGCAAATAAATTTGCAAATAAGTTTGCAAATAAGTCTTATTTACTGTATATTGCTCACTGTAACACTCTAGAGAGCAAGTAAGAACTGGGTCATCAAAGTTGAAGCATCTCTTCAGTTGAAGGCCAGCAGTCAACAAGGTAGAAAGTTGGTTATTGCTTCTTGAACACTCAGATCAAGCATAATGGCGTCTTAACCTGGCAGGGGAGATACCATGTATGTGTCTGAGAAAGCAGTTTTCCTGAGATGCTCTGCTCTTTTGGAGTAGTTCAGTACCCGCCAAGGTACAGCGGCTTTAAACCCAGTTTATGGAAATGGGAGTCTCCTCCCTTGCTTGCTCCGAAGGCCCTATGGCTAAGGGCAAGCAAAACTCAGAGGCATCTAGTAGGATGCCCGCCAAAGGTTTTGGAAACATCTGAAGCCCCAGATGGGGATAGAGGATGTTTGCTGGCAATAGGGCCACTTATGGTTCTGGACTGGCTTTTGGATTTGAAATTTGTTTTGGCTAATTTGACTTGGACCATGGAAAATTTAAATAAAAAAAGACTCCCTGAGAGTGACTTGGCTGTTGCATACCGCGTCAACGAGCTGCCTCCAAAAATCGTCCATTTTGCGCACTGTTATTAGGACTGATCCTGCAACCTACAAGGGTTGAAATCAGTGGGGGCCTCAGGGTTGTTGGGCAAGGGCCTCTTATTACCCCTTAGAGGTACTCAGGTAAATATTACCCTGCAACAGTTGTATCGTGGATCTTTTTAATATTCGTTGGGGGAATCAAATAAATAGTCAATGCCAATAGAGCCACTTCCTTGCAAAAATTTCACCTTCCCCACCTCCCACAAATCTGTTGCAACATTTTGGGGCCTCCTAAAATGTGCCCCCCCCAGTCTGTTGCAATATTTGGGGGCTGCCTAAAGTGTGCCCCACCCCAAAACAATGTTACAACATTTTGGAGCCGCCTAAAGCGTACCCCCCTCCAAAAAAAATGTACTGCAACATTATGGGGCTGCCTAAAGCATGCCCCCAATCTGTTGCAACATTTTGGGGCTGCCTAAAGTGGCCCCCACAAAAAAAATCTGTAGCAACATTTTGGGGCCAGCTAAAGTATGCCTTTACCCATCCCCCCCCCAAATCTTGCAACATTTTGGTGCCACCCAAAATGTGCCCTCATCCACCCCCCAAAAATCTGTTGCAATATTTTGGGGACGCCTAAAGTATGCCCTTACCCATTCCCAAAAAAATCTTGCAATGTTTTGGTGCCACCTAGAATGTGCCCTCACCCCCCCAAAAAAAATGTTGCAATATTGTGGGGACACCTAAAGTATGCCCTTGCCCACCCCCAAATAATCTGTTGCAATATTTTAGGGCCACCTAAAGTGTCCCCCTCCCAAAATATCTGTTGCAAAATTTTGCCCCCCCCCAGTGAGGAAGCACTGCTTAAGACGCCAACGCGCAAACGGGAGCCCCGCCCACCGGCCCGAGCTCCGGCGCGCGGCGCCAAGGGGCGGGGTTTCCGCTTCCGGACACGTCAGCGCTTGGGGGTGTTCACGTGACGCGGTCCCTTTCCGGCCTACAAGCTGCCTGGCTGGGCGCGCGGGGGAGAGGCCGCGCTGAGGGGAGTCCGCCGCCGCCATCATGCCGGTCTACTTCCAGCGCCCCGAGAACGCCCTGAAGCGGGCCAATGGTGAGTGCGGCCGGGCCCCGTGGCAGCCGGGCTCAGGCCCCCTCCCCCGGCTCGGGCCGCGTGAGGCCGGGGCCTGGCACGAGGCGCCGCTGCCCCGCCGGCGTTGCAAGGCCGGTCGTTACGTTGCCGCCCGCCCCCGGAACGGCCTTCCCTGATGGAGCGGGTTGGAAATGCCACGTGCGGGGCGGGAGGGATCAAGAGGATCCTGCATCGCCGTCTCCTGGCCGTCCTCCAGCGGCGATGGGCAGCCGTGACACGTCTTGGAGCACGTGCTGTCTGTCCTCACCCGCTTGAGCCCTCGCTCCGCTGGATGCTCCCTCAGGGCACCTCGCGGGGTTGCAGTTGGCAGGATTTAGGGGCTGACGGTTTGGCTCGTCATGGTATTGCCCCCGCGACCCACGTTTGGGGGGGGGGGAAGGCAATGGTGTAAATTCCGCAGCTCAGACCTTCCTCGCCTAAGGAGGGCCTTGAGGGAAGGTCGCAGCTGTGTGGGAGCGCTGCAGAGGAGAGGAGACCTTTCTCAAGGCTATCCACAGAATTGAATCGTTGTTAATTGTCGATGGACATGTCACGTTCCACCCGAAACCTATCAGAAAACAGCACATGTTACAGCATACTGTTTGTACTTGATCAAGTGAAACTTAAGGAGGTGTTCACATTGTTGTACTTCAGTTTCCGAACGGTTTCACTTCCTAGAGAGGGATCGAATCCCGAAGAAACAAAATTGTGACGATTTTTGAGATCCGCATAAAAAAACAGGGTGCTTTTTCTTCCCAAGCATAGTTGGCGAAAACCCCTCTCAGTCACTGCCCACCTGAGCTGTAAGGAGCTGGATTTAATAACATTTGTGGGAGAACACACTACATTTCAAGGCTTGTCAAAGTCCATCTCCACCATGTTTTTCGTCCAATAAAAGATAACACTCCCTGCCCAAATCCCTTGCCTCTCACATTTGTAGTAAGAGCTTATGTGACATAGTATGTCCGTGGTCGTGTCAGGGGTGCTGCTATAACCTCTGCTAGTTTTCCTAATGTCTGTTCTGGCTAGATTTGGGCTTCCACCAAGTTGCAGTTCCATTTAGAAAATCCTATGAATAGTTATAAATACACCCCTTGTTTTAGATAGCTAATAGTGTCTTCATTAGGTAATATAGTTGGAAAGACCAACACAATCCACAGTCAAGTACTCATATTCCATTACAGGATTAAGTATTTGAATTTAAGTATTAGTAGTTGTTAGGGGTGCACCGATAAAGATTTTTTGGGGTGATACTGATGGCCGATTTATTAACCAGCCATATCGGCTGATAATCCAATAGCCGATTTGCAGGAGCACAACCCGGCAGCTTGGAGAGCAGCCCGCTGCTGGTAAGTCTGGGGTGGGGTGGGGGGGAAAGGGCCGTGGGGGAGGAATATCGAGGCTGCTATGTTAGGGAGGGAGTGGGGCACATACAGGTGCTGCCCAGTGAGGGCAGGGCACGGGGTGGAGCTGCAGGTGGCTTGTCTGTGCAGAGGGGGGATAGCTTCCTGCTGCTGTGCACACCCCCAGGGGAGGCATGGGGGGCATTTGTCCCACTGGATTTGTGTGCAGGGTGAGGGCAGGCTGCCTGCTATGGGCTCAGGGCCAGGGGCTGTGTCAGTCTCTTCTGGTGGGCAGGTTGGGCTTGGGGTGGGCGGGAGCAGGGCAGGCTCCCTGCAAGTGACACCGAAGACTGGATGGAGCGTGGTGGAGGTGAGGCCAGCACCATTGGCCTTGGCTCCCTTGCCCTGCTCCCTGCAAGTGGTGCCAAGGACAAGAAGCGGAGTGGGGCTGGACACGGAGACTTTGAGTTACTGGGCCCCAACTAAAGCTGAGAGGGAGGGAGGGGAGTGGGATGGGGGGCATGGTGGCAGCGCCTTGGCGCTGCCACACCCGACAACAGCCCTGAAGGGGGTGGGAATCAGGCCTGGCCCCAAAGTGGCAGGGGCCAAGGTGTGGGGAGCAGGCTCCTTTTGCCCCTCTCCCCAACTGAATGAGAAGTGAGGGCAGGGCCGAATGTGGGACTCTGTCCCCGCTCACCATGACAGCGGGGAGTGCATCACTGGGCCCTGACAAAAGCCAGTAGGGGGAGGGGCACGGTGAGAGCGCCCAGCCGTTGTCAGGCCCTGCCAACAGCTGGCAGGGAGTGGGGAGGGATGGCAGGTGGACACGGGCCAGGCAGACCCAGAGCATGTGGGTGGCGGGGAGTGACACCGGAGTGTGGGGGTGGGGGGAATGGGCCCAGATTGGAAGCGGTGGGGGAGTGGAGGGAAATGGGCCCAGACCTGAAGGGGAGGTAGGGTGGGAACTGACCCGGATTTAGAGGGTTGGGTGGGAGCAGGGCCAGACCTGAAACATGGCTTGTGGGGCCAGACACAGGCAGGCCTCTGTCTTCATGTCGTTTCTCCTCCCCCGCCCCCCCCCCGGGGGGGCAGTTGGCTAGTTCTTATATAATAAAGGGCTTAGTCCATCTGTCTGTCTGTCCATAATGCTCTGGAAGCACTCTGGTTAGTGAAATAACCAATCAGTGTGAAGCGCCGCCATGACGGCAGAGACGGGGCGGGGTGAGTCCAGTGGTGCTGGCTTTGCCCCCACCCCGGCTCCATCCCCCTCATTATGGTGGTGCTCCACTGCCTCAGAGGAACAGCGGGGCGAGGCCAATGGCACTGGAGTTGGCAGTGGCGTGGGGTGCTGGCGAGGGGAGATGAAGGGAATGGCAGGGCAAGCCCTTCTCCCCCCCCCCTGTTTCTGGGAGGCGGTGTTGGGTGGTGCTGCCGCCAGGGATACACTGATTCAAAAAGTTGAAAACCCCTAGTCTAAATTGTATGTTAGGGTGTAGCAAAATTTGCAAAACAATTTTATAGTGCTGTATGCTGCCAAATGTTAATGGGGCCTTCAGACATTTTACCTGGAGGAACCAGTTTGTCTTTTAAGCAAAATCAGTGCTTGCTAAACATGTTAATTAACATTTAGTAATCTGGGCACAAACTTACAGTAGCACCATACAATACATACAATACCATTTTGACAATACAAAGCTGCCAGCCATGGTAATTTTTTTTTAGTTCAAACATTTTGATTGTGATTTCAAGTTTCTGTTAAAACTTGAGTGCCCCTGTGAATTTTCATGTAATCTTCCCATAGGATTGCTAGTTCGCCCACCACATCTTAAATAAATGTTCTCTTTTGTGAGTCACTTCCATTGTTAGACTGGTTTAGCAGGTGTAGTCCTGTTTCAGATACCTTAAATCTTTTTGTGTATTACTGCTGTCATTCCTTTCTTTCTCTAATTCCTTATTCCTTTGTTGTTTTCTTCCCAAATTGTAGGGACCTCACCATTTTTCATGGATTATGGAAAATATTAGGGCTTTTACTCATCTGCGTTCTTTGCTTTTTAGCCAGTTCTGTCCTGTACCGTATTATTCTCCATCCTCTCCCTGTTTTCCTCAGAGTTCACTTTTCTTGCCCTTTCATAGTTAAGATTGCCTTTATTACAGGTTGTGTATCTGGTAAGCTCTCTGTGCTGCTCTGATATCATTTTCTTTTGAACGGCTTGACGTACCTCATATTGTACTTCACAGTGTAAGGGAAATCAGACCCCTTATTTCAGTGTGATGTGCTCTTAATAACTGCATCTCTTAGGATTTGAGGTTGGTAAGAGGAGTAGTTAGCAGGCCTCTGTGTTGGAATTAGCCTTAAAACTGAGTGCATATATTTCACTAAACATATTACATTTTTTTAACCCAAATCCAAGGTGTTTTTTAGTTGAAGATAGCCCCCCCCCTCAACAATTAGATTCTGTATATGGAAAATTATGTATATGGAAAATCTTAAATTTGTTATAATTATTGGAGAGTTATCTTAAATTTGCTCCCCCTCACTGCTGTGGTGGGGAAGTAGTGGTGGGGGGTGAGGTGTCAGACCCTCACCCGTTGGTTTTCTTGTCTGCCCATCTTGCCCCTTGCCTCTTTCTGTGCCTGTCCTCCCTGCCATTTGCATGTTGCCCCCCTCCTATATAACCCCTGTTGCTTATCCCCCATGCCCCTTCTATGTCTGTGCTTGACTCCTGCCTCCTGTCCCCACTGCCACCCACCTCCTGTGCCCTTGCTCCCCTGTGCATGCACCCCCTCCCTGCTCCCCCACCCGGATCCCCCTGCCACCTGACAGATAGGGCAGGGAGCAGAAAACTGAGGAGCAGATTGAGTAAGAAAAAGGGATCAGAGTAGCACTAGGGGAGGATGACACACACCTGCCAAAAAGGTTGGCCCCCACTGCTCTATACAATTCTGCTTTCAATTAGAATTCAGGAGAATTGACACTATAGTTACATGAACTGATACTTTCACTGGTCAATGAAACGAGATCAGTCAGCCAGGTTGGACTGTCAGTTAACTTTGACTCTTGAGTTGATTAAATTATCATGGAAAATACAGAAAAGTGTGTATTAAGTAGATTATGTTCTTTGGTTTGCATAATTTTATCATTAAAATTTACTTCCAGAATTCCTTGAGGTTGGCAAGAAACAACCTGCCCTTGATGTTCTTTATGATGTTATGAAAAGTAAAAAACATCGAACATGGCAAAAAATCCACGAGCCGATTATGCTGAAGTACCTGGAGCTCTGTGTGGACCTCCGCAAGAGCCACCTGGCAAAGGAAGGATTGTACCAGTACAAGAATATTTGCCAGCAGGTATGCATTGTGAAACCTTAATTTGCCTGTAGAAGCATGGCAGGCATCTGTTACAGATCTTTAAAAAATGTGTAATTGTTTTATATCAAGGCCCTTGATCCTGTGTTTGGGATCTGCCAGTGAGGGAATGGGATTTCTGGGGAATCTAATAATCTATGTAATAAATAGCATCTTGTGTTAGCACTGTTCATAAGAATTTGCACTTCAAACATTAGCTGCCTATTTTGGAGGTAGGCCACTTCAGATATTCTGCCTTTAATGTAGGTGAACATCAAATCTTTGGAGGATGTTGTTCGAGCCTATTTGAAATTAGCTGAAGAGAAAACTGAAGCTGCAAAGGAAGAATCCCAGCAGATGGTGCTTGATATTGAAGACTTGGATAATATTCAGACTCCAGAGAGGTAGGAGGTCTTGCTTTAAATGTAAACTTTCACTGCAGTACCTCTCTCTCCTGTGTTTGTACAGCACCTAGTACAGAGAATCTCCAGTCTGATAGATTGGGTACTATCATAATACAAAGATCTACTATGTTTCTAAGTGCCGTGTTTCTGATATATTTTCGATAAAGCTTACTTTAGCTCTTCTGAGAATTACTTTTAAAATAGGTTTTCACTTACTAAACGCTTGGTCCGTACTTTTGGACGTTGGTTATGTTCAAGGGGTTTTGGAGTAAAATCAGTAATACTCTGAAGAGTATTGCAGAACTGGCAAGTCTGGATCTCCTGGAAGTTTTACATGTGGATTTAATTTTTGCACAGGTAATTTTCTAGTATTTTTTTAATACAACATTATAAAAGTAGATAATGTATCTAATTTTTAGTAATTAGGCCTGCAGTGACCAGTGGAGTCAACAGATGAAGAACAGTGAACGAGGACGTTTACAAAAGTTTGTAGGAATTGGGCGCCGGGAGGGGGGGGTGTTATTTAAAGGTAAGGACAAAGAAGAGTGCAATGACCAAGGTATTAATGAAGGAAACGTAGGATGATGCAGGGACAGTTGGTTGGGACCTAATGGAAGCTATTTAGTCCATGGAGTGTCACGTGATGGAACTTGCGGAAGAGAAGATCTGGGGACCTAGAGATGCAGCTGGAGACCATGCAGAGTGCAAATGAGAAGTTAAGGACATGAGGGTGCAGAAAGAAAGGAAATGTTAGAGATGTGATGAACAAGAGGGCTTGGATGGCAGACTCCTGGATGAGGAACCTAACCCTTAGAAGCACATGAGTACTAGAGTGAGGCAAAGGAAGAGACTAGCTAGTAGAAGAGAAACAGAATTGCAGAATCAGCTTGCTGTGCTGGAGAAGAAGAAGAGAAACTCCTGCCTTCCAGCTGTGGTGCAGAAGTGGCAGCAGCATAGATGCAGCTTTCAGCTTCCTAGCCCCAGCACAGCTCCTCACCAGCTGGAAGCTGTGCCCAGGATGCAGCTGAGGAGCAGCAGGCTGGGGGAAGAAGTCCTCTGCATCATAGGCACAGTTCCCAGTTGCCTGGCCCTGGTGTGGGCACAGGGAAAGTCTCCTGCCACAGATGTACCACAGAAGTGACCTGGCCCACGTTGGACCAGAGCTGGGTTGTTCTGGCTTGCAGCCTGAAAAGTTTGCCAGTCATTGGTTTAAACCATCCTAGATAAGTGTTCATCTAACCTGCTCTTACAAACTTCCACAGCAACTCAAAGTAACCTTTTCCAATGCTTAACTACCCTCCCAGTAAGACAGTGCTTCCTAATAGTCAAAATTTCACTTGCTGCAGTCTAAGACCATTCCTTATCCTGTCCCCTGTGGCCACAGAGAATAGTTTATTACTGTTCTCCACCCTTCAGGTATTTGAAGACTGGACCAGTTCTCCAGTCTGTCAAGGTCATTTGGGATCCTGACCCTGCCATCCAGAGTGTCTGCAATTCTGTCCAACTTGGTGTCATCTGCAGATTTGCCAAATGTGTGTCCAATCCTGTGTTCCAAATCATCATTGAAGATATTAAACAATACTGGACTTAGGACAGACCCTTGGGAAATGCCATTCGATACCTCTTCCCAACTGTACGTTGAGCCATTGAGGACTACTTCTTAAGCACAATGATGCAACCAGTTATTTATTCTTCTTGCAGTCCACTCCCTTATATCCAGTTCCTTACTCACCTTGGATTTCTTGTACTGATTCCCAGCTTCTCCATTTTAACTAATAATTTCCCATGTGCTATCAATGTTTCATGTTAATCCCACTAATATAGGAGTGCGCTGTGGGAATTTAAGAAAGGGGATGTATTGGGCTGGGGGGGAAGTTACTCTTGAGTTAGCCATGTGACCAATCTTAATATTTTTATTACAGCCTTGACACAGAAAGTGGGAGTGTGTTGGGCTAAGTATAGAGGTTCAGAAAGCCTGAGGTGGAATCAGTTCAGTCTTCATGGATTTTCTAAGATGTGTAGCTTGAACCGATGATAGACTGAACTGACGTTCAGTGTTTGGGTGGCCAAGGCAGGCAGAAGCCTGCACTGGCCCAGGCCAGGAGCCTGGGGGCGCTCACATACGCCACCCTTCATGGCCAGCTTCCTAAGGCTGCTAAATTCAGCCTGGTGGCAGCCCAGGCCTGATTGGCTGCTGGACATATGCCACCATGGCCTACCTCTTTCCACCTCCCCCCGCACCGCCATCTCCATCAGCCACAGAGAGGGGGAAGCCAGCAGAAAATCTCTTCCCAACTCTACCTCTGAGAGGATTGGGGAGGAGGAATGTACCACCTGGCCCTGGCCCCCGAGCTGAGGTTTGTCTGGTATGGGAAAATCTGGGCCTGGAGCTTTCCCCCCTCCCCAGACCTGCCTGTGAGTGGTAGGGGGCAGTGAGAGGAATGCACAGGCCCAGCATAACACTGAACCCTCCAACTGGGGTCTGCCCAGCACGAGGTGGTGGAAGCCCCCACCTGTGGCTTTGTGTAACCCCACAGTTGGCATCAGCCTCCACCCTGCCTCTCTACAGGAGGGGGCAGAGCCGATTCCCACCTGGCTTGCTAGACTGTGGGGTTACAAAAAGCCCCCAGTGGGGGTTTTCACTGCCCTGTGTCAGGTGGACCCTGGCTGGGTGGGGGAGTGGTGATGGGCTGGGCTGGTAGGGGGCTGGGGAAGGGTTGGGGGGCTGTGTCAATGCCAGCCCCATGAGCTGGACAGCGGAAAAACAAAAAGACCCTAGTGGGGGCTTCTCCCCCTGCACTGGGCAGACCCTGGCTAGGGGGACTGGGGCAGGCTGGTGTGGTTCCCTCCCACTCTCACCCCCACCTGCTCGGTCTCTCTCTCTCTTATGGGCTGGGGTGAGGGTGGGGCTAAGTCCATGCCAACCCTGCTTGCTTGGCTGCTGTGGCGTTGAAAAGCCCCTCACTGCTGGGGCTTTGCTTCACCTTGTCCTGTACAGGCAAGTGGCTCAGGGGGCTAGGGACCCATTTCCTTTCCAGCCCCCACCCCCATCCTGCTGGGCTAACAGATGCTGGCAGGGAGCAGAGATTTTAGTGTCTTAGCTCTGTGAAAGCTAGGGGAGGGACCAGTCCTGCTCTGCTGGAGCAGACAGCACAGCCCAGGGCTGCAAATCGTTCTGAGATGTTGGGGGAGTTTCCTTGAATTGGGAAGGGATCTTGGACAGAAGTTCCATAAACTGGCTGACCTAAATCAGTTAAATCTGATTCTACAGGTTTATCTGAAACTGGATTTGGTCAATTTGAAAACGGTATATATGCACTGAACATCTGCTGTGTTATAGGTTTAAACCAGTTTTGGCTCATTTAAACTAGTTTACATGTAACTTCTATCCCTAGCCATGATGACACTTGCTGATGACATAAGGTAGCAGGCATTGACAATAGTGGAGGCTCTGGATAACCTTGAGGACTGGAGTAATAACAACGTTATGAAATTCAGAATTAAAAAGTTATTGTGCTTAGATTGACAGCAGAGAATTTTGGTATAAACTGGGAGCTCATCAGTCCTAAGCGACTGAGGAGATGAGAGACCTGGGTATAGTAGTTAGTCAGAAGATAACTGTGAATCAGCAGTGTGCTGCCATAAATACAGTATGTGAAATCCTAGGAAGTATCAAATAAAATATTTCTAGTAGAGATGGAGAAGTATTAATGTGAATTGGACAAAGTACTGATGACCTCTCATCAAGAATATTCTGTATGATTCTGGTCACTTGTCCTTCTCTATGCGTGTTCAAATTCTAAGTCATCTATTTTGAACCCAACTAGGATAATTAGAAGAATGGAGAACCTATCATAGAAGAAAAGATGAGAGCAATTTGCCTTGCTTAATCCAGCATGGGGGTGTCAAAGATTCGGCCTATGGCACCCTATCATCCAGACCCTGGTGCTGGCCCTGGGTCTTGAGCTGTCCTATGCATGGTGCGCGCCAGATCAGCCCCATGATCCGGGCCTAGGACACCTGCTGCACGTGGCACCTGCACGGGACTAGTCCGGGGCACCTCCCTCCCCCACTCTGGGACCAGCCACTGTGTGTGGCATGAGAGGGAGTGTCCATGGGCCTAATTTGCCCTTCAAGGCTGGCCCTGTGTTTATCCATGCTGTAGACCATTCCTGTGCCATTCATCTGGTCCACAGGGCCAGATGTGTTTGACACCTCTGGTCTAGCAGAATGAAGGTTAAGAAGGGGCATGATTATTAGGGCTGTGCAAAGCTTTGGTAGCTGATTCGATTTGGAGGAGATTCAGTCCAATTTGGGGACTGACTCTCCAAATCCGAATTCATAGTTTCATAGTTGGTAGAGTCGGAAGGGACCTGAGCAGATCATCAAGTCCGCCCCCCTGCCATGGGCAGGAAAGAATGCTGGGGTCAAACAACCTCGGCTAGGTGATTATCCAGCCTCCTTTTGAAGACCCCCAGGGCAGGAGTGAGCACCACTTCCCTTGGAAGTTGGTTCCAGATCCTAGCCGCCCTAACTGTGAAGTAGTACTTCCTGATGTCTAGCCTGAACCTAGTCTCGGTCAACTTGTGGCCATTATTCCTAGTTACTCCTGGTAGTGCTCGGGGGAATTGGGGACTCTCCTGTTTCCTGCTGGGCCCCACTGGTAAGTTTATAAACGGCCGCCAGATCCCCTCTCATCCTTCTCTTGTGGAGCCTGAACAGGTTCAGGTCCCATAGCCTCTCCTCATAGGGCCTGCCCTGCTGCCCCCTGACCTTGTGAGTGGCCCTCCTCTGGACCCTCTCAATGCTGTCTACATCCCTCCTGAAGTGTGGCGCCCAGAAGTGGATGCGGTACTCCAACTGCAGCTTGACCAATGTCATATAGAGGGGGAAGATCACCTCCTTGGATCTGCTCGAGATGCATCTGTGGATGCATGACAAGGTGCACTTAGCCTTCCTGACTGTGTCCTCACATTGGCAGCCCTTGTTCATTTTGGAATCAATGATGACTCCAAGATCCTTTTCTGCCTCTTTGCTGACAAAAAGGGAGTTCCCCAGCCTGTAGGTACGCTGTAGGTTCTTTCTCCTTAGGTGCAACACCTTGCACTTGTCAGTATTGAATCCCATCCTAGTCTTAGCTGCACACCCCTGTAACCTGTCCAGATCTAGATGTAGCCCGTCCCTTCCTTCTAGCCTGCCCACTTCTGCCCACATCTTAGTGTCATCCGCAAATTTGAAAAAGATGCTTTTCACCCCCTCATCCAAGTCACTGCTTAACATCTTCATCAGTGTGGGCCCGAGACCCGAGCCCTGGGGAACCCCATTGCCCACGTCCCTCCAGGTTGAAAAAGATCCGTCCACCACCACTCCCTGGGTGCGGCTCTCCAGCCAATTTGCAACCCATCTGACTGTGTAGGTATCAACGCCACAGTTGCCTAATTTGTTAATGAGAATGGGGTGAGAGACAGTGTCAAAGACCTTCCTAAAGTCCAGTAAGACTATGTCCACCACGACACCTGCATCTAAGGATTTTGTAACCTGGTTGTAGAAGGCCACCAGGTTGGTCTGACAGGACCTGCCCCTAATGAACCCATGTTGGTTGCCCTTTAAGCATAATCTCCCTTGCTGGTCCCTCGCAGATGTGCTCCTGGATAATTTTCTCAGCTTCCCCAGAACCGAGGTAAGACTAGCGGGTCTGTAGTTACCTGGGTCCTTCTTCCTCCCCTTTTTGAAAATGGGGACCACATTGGCCCTTTTCCAGTCCTCTGGCACCTGGCCAGAGCACCATGAGTGCTCGTAAGGCCATGACCTCTGCCAATTCTCTCAGCACCCTGGGGTGGAGATCATCTGGACCTGCTGACTTGAACATGTCCAGCCCCACCAGAAGTTCCCTAACTAGGTCCTCACTGACCCTAGGCTGTGCCTCTCCTGAGTCTGGTAGCGGGTATGTCCTGGTCCCTGCTCAGAAAAATGGAGGAAAAGAATTTGTTAAAGAGGTTAGCTTTACTGTCTGGTGCAACCACCAGATTGCCAAGCGTGTCCTGCAGGGGCCTCACGTTGCCCAATGCTTTCTTTTTACTCCCTGTGTATTTAAAAAAGGACTTGTTATCTTTGATCCTGGTTGTTAGTCCTAGTTCTGCTTTAGCCTTCCTAACAGCCCTCCTACAGTCTTGAGTAATGGAGGTATAATCCTCCTTGGTGATGGCTCCTCCCTTCCACTGGGTGTGTGCCTCCTTTTTAGCTTTTAGACATTCCTGAATTCCTTTGGTGAGCCATGGGGGCCTTTGAGCACTCTTGCCCCCTTTGACTCGCATTGGGACTGTCACCTTTTGGGCTCGTTGGATCATCTCCTTAAGGAACGACCACTTGTCTTGGACTCCCAACTCCCCTACCCTCTGGGACCTCAGTGCCCCCCCACTAATCTCCTTAACTCATTGAAATCGGCCCTCTTGAAGTCAAGGGCTGCTGCCGTGCTGCAGGCCTTTGAGAGCCTGCACTGGATGGTGAATTCCAGCAGGCGATGATTGCTATCGCTCAGGTGGTCAAGAACCCGCAGTCCCCTCACCAGGTCGTTGCCTGTGGCCAGGACCAGGTCCAGCAAGGCATTTCCTCTGCGGGGCTGTTCACCTCCTGGATTAGGTGGAGGTCCTGTATCTTGGCTAGGAACCTACGTGAGCGGTCAGACCTGGCCAACTGCTCCTCCCAGCAGATGTCCGGGTAGTTTAGGTCACCCGTGATGACTGTGTGCCTTGACCCAACTGCCTCTGCAAGCTGACCTGAGAATTCCCAGTCCAGCTCTTCTCCCTGGTTGGGTGGTCGATAGTAGACACCCAGCGTTAAGTCCCTTTCCCCCCGACCCCCTTGTAGTCTGACCCAGAGCACTTTGGTCTGCCCCTCCTCTGACCCAGTGCTGTTTGTTGAGGATGTGTATTGCTCTTTGACATAGAGCGCCACACCCCCACCTTTCCTCCCCGTTCTATCCTGTCTGAACAGTCTGTAGCCCTTGATGTTTACCATCCAATCATGGGTTGAATCCCACCAGGTTTCAGTGAACCCCACTACGTTAGTGTTAGCTAGCAGGAGGGCAAGTTTCTCCTGCTTGTTCCCCATACTACAAGCATTACTGGAGAGGCATTTAAGGCCTCCTGAGGGTGTATGCACCCTCCCCCCAATCCCAGGACTATACGGACCCCTGTCATACCTGGGTACTTCTTGTGCTTGTCACCTGTCTTGACTGGGGAGTGTCCTTGTGTCCCCCTGTGGCCCCATCCCCTGGCGAAGTTAGTTTAAAGCACGCTGTACGAGATCAACCAACTTGGAAGAGAAGGCACACTTGCCTTTAGGGGAGAGGTGAAGCCCATCCCACGTGAGCGTGCCCCCTGTGTGAAAATGTGGGTCGTTGTCAAGGAACCCAAGGCCTGCCTGGTAGTACCAACTCCGAAACCACCGGTTGACCACTCCGATGCAGGCCTCATGGCGCCATCCGCATCTGCTTACCGGGAGAATAGAGGAGAATACCACGTGCTCCCCTGTCTCCTTGAGCTTGGCCCCAGGGCCTCGTAGTCCTTCATGATGCGGTCTGGACTGCTCTCCGCCGTATCATTTGTTCCCGTGTGGATTAGGACCATGGGGTACTGGTGAATGAGGTCCAGGATCATGCTTGTAACATCCTGAATCCGAGCCCAAGGCAGGCAGCAGACCTCATGTGCCATGGGGTTGGGTTGGCAGATGGACCCCCCCCGACTTCCCCCCCCAATGCCGCAGGTGCAGCGCAGCTCGGCAGGGTGCCGCGCACTGTTTGGGAGCTGGGGCGGCTCCATATGTCAGCTGGAGCCTGGCACCGCTCAGCCCCAGCGGCCCCAGCTCCCAGACGATGTGCAGCACCCTGTGGAGCCGTGCTGCACCCACACCATGGGGCAGCTGCCGCATAGGTGCCAGGCGGGGGGGTGATCCCTGCTGCCCCGTGCTGCGCAGGGGGGACTCTGCCACAAGTGCCCAGAGGCCTCAATCACCGCTCTTGCCACCAGTGAGTGCAGGGCTTTTTTTTCTTTTTTTTTTTTAAAATGTCGGGAGGCTGGGGCTAGGCAGGGGATGTGGCCGGGCAGGGCATCCATGGGGGCTTCTGCGGTTCTCCCCAGCCAATCCGAATCACCGAATCGGCGCCAGATCTTCCAAAGCCAATTTGGCTAAAACAGTTAAGGACAGTGATCCGAATCTCAGAATCGACTCGCTGTCCTCTGAATTGGAATCTAAATCAAATGCTTCCCTGTTTGCACAGGCCTAATGATTACAGGCAACTGCTGCTTAGTGCTCTTAATTGGTTCTTGGAACACCAAGCGTTAAACAAAATGTGCGTTAAACGAAACCTCAAGTATTTGACAACCCAAGATGGCGACCACGGTTGTTTTTAATGACCCAAGATGGAGCCCACGAGCGTTATAACGAAACTGAGCGCTAAGTGAAGTCAGGTATCAATTTAAAATAAGCATTATAGCGAAATAGTGCTAAGTGAAACAGTGTTAAATGGGGGTTGCCTATACTGTATAAATAGGAGAGGCTCTAGAACAGCTCTGCTGTAGGAGTAGTGGTGGCAAGAACCCTAAATATGCGTACAGTGCAGCTTAGTCAGTGTTTGAAAATGATTACATGACAGCAAGGGCCTGGACTCTGATGCAAGAGATCCCTGTCCCTCCCAGTCCTACATTCCTGTGTAAGGGGGAATTTAATTCAAGTAATCTAAACATTAAACTGCTTGACCATACTGTCTCATTTTATCTCTGACACTAGGGTTTCTTAGGGTGACTATTATTGGATGAACTGTGTAGTTGGGATAGAGTTAGACACATTTTCACCCAATTAAGAATGTCTTGGATTTTATAGTTTGGCTAACTCTATCCCAACTATACAAATTCTGTTTCATCATAAACACTTGTGTTCAATAATGCGGGTTATGGTGTTCGCCAGGTAGGCAGGGTAGTTACTTAATTTTGATTTACATATAGGTATTTTTCACACGTTTATAATTGTTTTAATCTGAAATTAAATACATTTATCTCGTATTCTCACAATTTATTTACATTTCTGTTTTTAGTATGCTTAAAGGTGAGCGAGCACACAGTAAAATAGTCACTATATATCTTTTAGACTTTTGGAATAAACCCTTTCATATTGTATAGAGTTATGGGTAAAGCTGATGCCCTGTTGTGGAAATTGTTAAGTTTGGTTTATTCTGTTTCTTAAGCAACATCATAGCATACATTTTTATGTTGTCTACATGTCAGTAGATATTAAAATTATTAAAAAGACTTGAAGCAGTCCTGAAGCTGCTGGTCCCTCTAGTAGTATTGCAGGCAAGTCAAGGAAGAAATATGGGCCAGTAAAAGGAGAATACTAAATACCAGGTGTTTGAATGTAGTAGAGGATCAGTCTATTCCTGTCTTGTTGGGAGCAGGGAGTAATTTGTAGATGAGAACCTCAAACAGTCTACTTCTGCCTAGTGTTGTGAGGGACAACAAAAAAACCAAGGAAGCTTGGGTCTTCCTGACTACTAGGCAGACTTCTAACCTACTTGTGTAGGGTGTACCCTAAAATGAATCTAGGTTTGAATCTGAACCAGCATAGGATTATTTTTTCAAGTGTTCATGATGGTCAACCTTTTCGGACAGTGTGGAAAAGGTTATAAACCACATTTTTGGTAGCTATTCAGGTTCTTTTGGCTTTTTTTGTAGATTCTTGTAAGAGAGGACATGAGATGAGAAGATAGGAATTGTGAGAACTAACATTGTTTTTTTATTCTTGATTGTAGTGTTCTCTTAAGTGCTGTAAGTGGGGAAGACACTCAAGATCGTACTGATAGACTGCTTTTGACACCTTGGGTTAAATTTCTGTGGGAATCCTACAGGCAGTGTTTGGACCTTCTTCGAAACAATTCTAGAGTGGAACGCCTCTACCATGATATTGCACAACAAGGTAAAATGATAGGGTGAAATATAAATTATGATGAGACTGAGGCCGTGGACAGGTGTTCGTATCTAGCAGTAAGAATTTATGTGAGATTCCTACTGCTAGAAGACAGCCCAGGAGCTGGGGCATGTGTAAATGCATTCCAGACCACCTGGCTGAAGAGCTACACAGGCAAGATCCCTGACAGCTCGCCTCTGCATGGGCTATTGGAGACCTGGGTTCCCAATCAAGGTTGTTTGGACAACTTGACTTTTATGTTCTAATGCAGTTTAAATCAGTGGCTAGATTCAAACTCCTTATTCAATAACACTAACCTTGTACATCATTCATTTTCACAGCTTTTAAGTTCTGCTTGCAGTACACTCGTAAGGCCGAGTTCCGTAAACTATGCGATAACCTGAGAATGCATCTAGGGCAGATCCAACGCCATCATAACCAAAGTACAGCAATCAACCTCAATAATCCAGAGAGCCAGTCTATGCACCTGGAGACGAGGCTGGTACAACTGGACAGTGCTATTAGCATGGAACTATGGCAGGTGTATATCAGGACTTTGTATTTGTATGTAGACCCGTGATTCCAAAGTCTTTAGAAGCTTCAATGCCAAACTGGCATGAATTTATTCCATTGTGCATACTCTAAGGATAACTTTTTGATAGATAGATAGATAGATAGATGTTATTGTTATTAACATGTTAATTGTTAATAACATGTTAAATGTTATTATCTTGAATCTATATTTATACATCCATATTGAGTATCAAATATCCAGTGTTCTTAATGTTGTATAGAAGCAGCAATTTAAAACAAGCTACTACCAGTAATAATTTTTTTTATGGGCACTGATACAGTGGCTGAGGCTGCTTTGATGGCAGAAACGGGTGAGAAATCAAAAGAGGTAACCCTCTCACCTTCAAAGATTTACATTTTCCATAGATACAGATCACTTTATATGCACTCAGTAGAGAGCTTAATTTATGATGGAGGTCCCTTTTTTACTTGTTTGTAAGCCCTAGAAGTATGATTGTTTAGAGCCTTTGCTAACATGTGACAGTAAAACTACTCCAAGAGGCTTATTTCTTTAGCACTGTCAAAGGAAAACAGTTACAAATGTAAGGGTTTTTACTTTGTCTTAATGCCATTTCCAAATTTTGTGTGCCTTCAATTGTTTCCTTTTTAGGGGTAGATAGGTCCTTTTATAGTATGGGAAATCTAAGTAATTTCTGAGAGTGCTTTAGACTTTCTTGAGATATTGTTTACACATCTGATGGGTGTCCTGGTTTTGTGTGGAGACAGTGAAAGTCAGCTAATAGAACTGGTCAGAAGAATTTTAAAACTGGTGGAGTTTCATACCGGGTCAGACACATTTCCCAAACATCAAAATGGTCCAAAATGGATTTTTTTGCCCACCTTTAGGAAACAGATGCATAGGATTTATAATTAGCTCAGTGTGGGTGACAGAGTTGAATATGCACAACTTTAATTAGCAGTTATGTATTGTAATTAATGATTTGGTGAATGCAAATTTATAACTTTTTTTTATTTGTTTGCAATAACTTATTTAAAAAAATCATTGTTTTATTTTTTATTTTAGGAAGCTTTCAAGGCAGTGGAGGATATTCATGGGCTCTTCTCTCTGTCTAAGAAACCACCCAAACCCCAGTTAATGGCAAACTACTATCACAAAGTTTCAACTGTTTTCTGGAAATCTGGAAATGCTCTCTTCCATGCATCCACGCTTCATCGACTTTATCATTTATCAAGAGAAATGAGAAAGAATCTCACGCAAGAGGAGATGCAAAGGTGGGGAAAGATGCTTAACCTGATTCCTAGCTCCTTATTTTAAACACTTAAGCAAAAATCAATTAAATCAGGTCTGAAAAGAAGTAGATGGAATATGTGTTTGAGAGAGGGTTGGCATCAGATGTAAGCAACTTTTATTAAAGGGGTAAATACTGACTGCCTCAAACAACTTGTGTAAGAAGGACATTTAACAAAACTTATAAATACAGAGAGCAGCAGGACTTCCTGAATTCTGTTTCTGTTGATTGAGAATCTGAGTAAGTCCCTAAGTGTCTGCAGCCATTTCTAGATCACAAACGTACCGTGCCTAGCAGTGGTGACTTCAGAAATACCCCACTGGTCTTCATGCCTGGTTCCCCTGCTTTCCAGTCAGTGAGTAGTGTTGTTGTGCAGTGCCAATCATGATTTGTTTTGCAAAATTAGACTAAAATGGTTCCGGCTACTTCCCTTTTATTTGGGTATTGTATAGCATTTTGGTATTTAAAGAGGAGTATTATATAAAATCTTATGTACTGAATGCCAATACTGAAGTGCCAAGGTGTTTTATTTTCTGCTGTTGTTTTATTTCGACATGGAATAGTTTTGAAAGAATAAATAATTTGCTCCTTTGTTCTTGCATTGATTGGGTGCTTCTGTTTCCAACTGGAATATATTAGAAATTTAGTAATTAATGATTCTTTCACTGTTGATGGTTTCTGATCATGCTTCATCAACAGGATGTCTACCCGAGTCCTTCTAGCCACGCTGTCAATCCCTATAACTCCTGAGCGAACAGATATTGCTCGTCTTCTGGATATGGACGGCATTATTGTTGAAAAACAGCGACGTCTGGCAACACTGCTGGGCCTCCAGGCCCCACCTACACGTGTCAGTCTTATTAATGATATGGTAAGTAAAAGTGTTTGGCAGAAGGGGTAACTAAATTATATTTTGTCTCTAAAGCAGCTGTCATAGGATGCGGAACAACAATTCACAATGTAGTATGTTAAAGCTTTTTCGTTTAATCCTCTATTTGTAAATGAAAATTGTTCCATAAATCATAAACACTTTTTAATTAAACATTATATTGAGGCAAGTATGTTACTCATTTTACTTCCTAGCTACAAAGCTGTTGGATATAAAGTCAAATTGATTAAAGAAGTATTTATTTTGATAAAATACTTTTTCTATTTTGTTGGTTCCAGGTGAGGTTCAATGTGGTGCAGTATGTAGTTCCAGAAGTGAAGGAACTTTACAATTGGCTTGAAGTAGAATTCCACCCCCTAAAGCTGTGTACCCGTGTAACCAAGGTAAGTCCTGTAGCTGCATAAGGAGAATCACTAGTTTGTGTAGATGGTTCATATAAATATTAATTTGTTATAAAAGTCATCTGGTTTATCATCGGTCAGGATTATGGATGTCATTTGGCCATGTCCATTATTGTGCACTGTTGTATGAGCACATCACTGTAAATGATGCATCAAGTAGTCTTTAAAAGCAATTTTAACCTCTCAGCTCCCTCAACACCTGTAATTATGTGTTCTTTTTATTATCTGAACACTGAAATTTGCTCCAACATGGGAAATTTTTGGTGGTGAAAGTGACCTTGTGGGGGAGGTAGTTGATTAGACTGTTGGTGACTGTCTTTCTTGCTATCGTAAAGAGAGTCTGGATTTCAACTCTGGGGGAGAGGGAAAGTCTGGAACATCTGTTTGTATTTGGCACAGAATGGTTAAGGACAGAAATTACATCTAAACTGGTATAAGTGATCGGAAACTGGTTCAAATCTGTAACACAACAGAAGTTTGGTGCACAAAGACTACTTTCAGAGTGGACAAAACCAGTTCAAGATAAACTTGGATGGATGTAGTATCGGACTTAACTGATTTAAGTTAAATTGATTTATTGAACTTCTCTTCCAGATCCCTTTCAGATTCAATTAAACTCAGTTCTCCAGCATCCCAGGATGCTTTGCACCTCCCCTGCAAACCCCCTTTGCAAGTGGGCAGGCTAGACTTGGCTTAAGCTGTATGCTCCAGCCAAGCATGCTGTAGCGCACCCCCCCAACTTCTGGCCTGAGCTACTGCAGGCATGTTGCTGCATTTCTGGAATGAAAAATGAATGTCTGTTCACTTGCTTATCAGTTCAGTCTATGGAGCTTAGACTAACTTGCAAAGATTGAATTTGGCTTTTTGACTGTCTGTACTTAGCCCAAGAGTCAACACATGCTTAGTGAGCAGAATTTGTCTAATTTCCACAAATCCTGGAGCACAGAATGGTTTTTCTTTGTTTCTGTGAGAACAAAGATATTTGATATGCTAACAAATAACAGAAGAAAAGTTAGCAGTATGATTAAGGTAGCTAGCACTGTCAGTCACTTTTGTGCAAAACCTATTAAGTGCCTATTATATAAAAAACAGCAGTGAACTTTTGAAAAGACTCTTAGTACAGAATCTTTGATAGGTACACCTTACTTCATGAATTGTGAAATTAAGCTATCCTGGATTGTCATTTGTTTCACTTCTTCAAGCTGAATAGTTTTTTTGGACCCTTAGATAAAATAATCTGGGTATTATACAGGTCCTGAACTGGGTGAAAGATCAAGCTGAAAAGGAACCTGAACTGCAGCTCTATGTCCCACATCTGCAAAACAACACCATTCTTCGACTCCTGCAGCAGGTATGGCCAAACAGAGAGCATGCTTGCAGTGTTGTATGGTTTAGGGAAAGCTTTGGATGGGTGTTCAGCCAAAAGTTTTGATGTCCAAGGAAAAATTTTTCTTTGAATGTAAGAATGCTTAGTATGACTTTGGGAGAGTTTTTTCCAGCACACACACTCCCTACCTCCATATGTTCTGTTTTGGATTAAATTATTAGGCACAACTCTTGCACTTATAGTGGCTGCATAGTATGGTATATATTTTGTATAGGTTTTTCATTTCTTTATTCATCTTTGAAGTCTTATCATATCTGTTTGTTTCTAGTAGGCTTCTTTTCTTTGTCTTGTTTTGCCAAATGCACATTTCATTGACCTGCACTCATTGCAAGTGGTGAGCAGTGTTATTTCTGATGTGCTAAACAAACAATTGAAGGCTAATTAACAGCATTGCTACATATAGCTACTGTTGTCAGTCTCCTTCAGACAAATAATATAGGATCAAGTGACCTTCCTGAGTAAAGTTTGCCAGGAAGAAAATCCTAAAGGAACTTAGATAAAATATAAATTTGTCTCATTTTGGTGATTTGTTACCTACCTATCTTTTATTAGGTTAGCTTTACAACATATGTAGCAATGTTAATATATTTACTTTCATTTTTAATGGGCAAGAGATTAAATGTTCTTTTTTTGTGCAGGTGGCCCAAATTTATCAAACCATTGATTTTTCTCGTCTGGCTACCCTTGTTCCCTTTGTTGATGCTTTCCAGCTGGAACGTGCTATTGTAGATGCAGCCAGACACTGTGACTTGCAAGTAAGTGTTATAAATACCCTCCTGTAAAAATGTGTATTAATAGTTTTCCTTGTGCTGAACAAGCTGTGGGCTTGGATGAAAGCTAGCTAGCTGATGATCCACTTAGATAAGACAGCCTTGATGCTGGTGGACTGGGAAGAAGTAATCATTGTAAGAGGTGCAAGTGATGTCAATTTGTTGATATTTTTTTTAAATAGTTGCTTACCTAGAGTAACAGAGGAGTGCACTTCGTAAATAAAAAACATTTATGAAGTTTATTTGATAGAACTGCCCAAAGGATCATGGAGATGTATGGCTATCTAATTGAGCACATCCTTAAGTGAAAGTGAAACAAATTTGTACTGCAAACATTAGGAACACTCCAATGTATTCATTAAAAACAAGCTACAAGCCGTGATGCCTATTTTGTCCAGCTATAGGCATAGAAATATCTCAACAGATGGTATGAGGCATTTTAACAGCTATTGTAGATAACATTGGAAGTAGAACATGGTGTATAAGCATATTACACGTTAAACAATGCTGAATCTTGCAACATTGTATTTTTTGTATATGAAACTAAGAATACTTTTTATCTTTTCATTGTATTTTCAGAGGCTATTGAGACCTCTGTAAAAACGCATATGGCTTGAAATCCTGGCTCCATTGAAGGTGTTGACAAAACCTTTATCAGCTATGTTGGGGTTAGGATTTCAGTCTCCTGCCAAGATACCTTGTTCTACTAACTTGCCTATAATGAAGAAGTAGCTAAACTCTTTATTTTGGTTTCCAGCATAGCATCATGGAAAAGCTTAGCTGCTTACAATCTTATTTATAATAGAATTGCATCTGTGTACTCTTAAAAGTAATACCCAGGTTATGACAAAAGAGAGAATATTGTTCTCTCTTTCAGTTTACTTAGTCTTTGGATAGTACTTTATGCATTAAGTAATGTCATGTTGCCTTCATGTTGTCAGTTGCCTGATATTTGGTAATTTGCACAACAAAAGTCAACATTATTTTAAAATAATAATTAGAAAAATATTGCAATAGTGGCAACAGGAGTTGAATATGTGGTATGCCTTGTCTTGTCTTCTAGCTTACTTTAACTTGTTGTACAGACTCAGTGGGCATGTCTACACAAGACACTTTACTGCATAGTAGAGCAAATTACTAAGTAGTAAGTGTCATCATTTGTGTGTGCAGACCCTTTCTGTGCAGTAATTCACTGTACTTGGCAGTTAATTTTCTACCTGCAAATGCAAGTAGCAAACTAACTGCTGAGTAATTATTGTGCAGCAAGGCACAGTTAGATAGCTGACCGGGAGCAAATTTGCTCCCAGGCACTAGGGGGTAGGAGATTGCTTCTGTCCCCAGGAGCTGCCTACTGCCAGGGCAGGCTCTGCCACTGGAACCTGGGCAGGCGCAATGTCCTTCTGCGGGAGAAGGGAGCTCCCTGCACAGGGAGAGTTCCCTGCCCAGCCTGGAGCTGGCTGGGACCTGCAGCTCATAGAGGAACAATTCTGCACCTCCTCCAGGAGACAGCTGTCCTGGCCCTGTGCTCCCTGTCAGCCTCTGGGCTAGCACCCAGAGGGAGCCTAGAGCTCCCCCTAGCTGCTGCAGGGGGCCAGTGCAGGGGTGAGAACAGACTGATGCCAGGAGCAGCAATTCTGTTCCCAAATGGACACATGTGTAGATGCCTGCCCAAGGTGAGTTTACTTCAAAGTAATTTACTCTGGAGTAAATGCATCCAGCAGTATTTGCATGTGTAGATGTGTCCAGCGATGTCCTATTCACCTTCTTAATCTTGGGCTTCTTTAATTTATGTAAAGGTTCGCCTTGATCATACCTCTCGAAAATTGAGCTTTGGATCAGATTTGAACTACTCTACTCGAGAAGATGCTCCACTTGGTCCTCAGCTGCAAAGCATGCCTTCTGAGCAAATTAGAAATCAGCTGACTGCTATGTCTTCTGCTCTTGCTAAGGCTCTTGAAGTTATTAAACCCCCTCACTTGTTGGTAAGTATTTTTAAACTTGGAAAACTTCAACAAATATTGTTAATTCATGTACAAAATAGTGTAATGTATACCTGATATCCTTGTACAACCGCTGTACAGCTGTTTCTTGTCAAATCAAATGCACATTTCATTGACTTGCTCTCAGAATAGTGATGAGCGGTGTTATTTCTGATGTGCTAAAAAAACTGTTGGAGGTTAATTAGCAACATGACTATATGTAGTTATTGTTGCCAGTCCCCTTCAGACAAATCAGCTGATCAAGTTCAGTATGTACAAATTTAATGTAGAAGTATAGGTTTCCCTCGCTTTATGAGAGTTCTGCATATATGAATTCGCTCTTACGTGATGACCCTTTTATGCCAAAAATTTGTTATATGCAAGATAAATTCACTCTCATGCAATCGGTGTGGTGGAAGCCTGCAGTGAGCTGCATTGTGGGAGTGATGTACAGTGTACAGCTGTACAGTGCATTGCAGGAGTGATGCGCACCAAAATATAGTCTCCTGTGTGGATCTGTGCTCCTCACTCGTTGTCTGACACGTATTTCTGTTGTTGCCATCTCCATTATGTCAGTGCCCTGGGCTTGTGTGCAATGTCTGCTGTTGGTGAGTACCAAAATTGTCCTGTAAGTGGTAGGCATGGGTCTGGGGGTCAGTACAGTCGAGATCTTGGAACATATCTCTAGTTGTTACATTGTAAAGTGGGTTCCCTGTATGCAAATTCGAGTTATGCACTGTTTTCTAGGAATGCATGTACAGCATAAAGCAAAGGAAACCTGTAATGTGATTATTTGTGGGAAAGGCTAAATGTATCTTATGCAACTGAGACAGCGAAAGAATGCTGTCTCCACCCTCATAATTGCACTAGATTTTCTGGGTTAGCCTAATATAATTGTTTTGAAGCTGTGAATACTTCCTCAGCATTAGCTTTCCTATGATACATTAGGCTGTCTGTAAGTAGTTTTGTTAAAGAAGCTCTGCTAGGTTTTGAACAGTCAAAAATTTGACTGTGTTCTTTTTTCTTTTAGTACTGTGTTGCTCTGTCTTTTTTTTTTTCCTCCTGTTCCTTAGCAGCTACTCTTACATTCCTTAGCATTGTGGCATTTGTTTTTAATAGTTATAATGAGTGATATTTGAATACTTTTGAATTGATTGAAAACATAAGAAACTTAAGAATGTGGTATTTTAAAATATAAGGAAGGTGTCAGACTGACTTCCAACAATGCCCTCTCCATCTTGCAGCATGAGAGAAGCCAAAAATCCCCAAATGCAGCCAGTCAGTTCTTGTGAGGTCACATTATTAAATACTGTGTCAGCGTGTGCATGAGGGACAGAATTAAGATTGCTAGGAAGAGATTTATCAGCTTTTTTTGGTGAAGAAAAAGATCATTTTTCTGAATTTTTGCCCATATTGTATCAGATTGCTTTTTGGAATTGTCATTGTGACAGACGTGGAATGCAGTCTCACAGCAGAATCTAGAAACCGTGAGCTAAAGCTTTTGTAGCCTAAAAATTGACTTCCTTCCTCCTCTCCTTGAGGATGGTGGCTGTTAGTTGAACTTCAGCTTCTACCTGTGATATCACCTATTTCCAGGTTCTCCAAAGGTTTTCAAGCAAAAAAGTGACAAGTCAAAACCTGATATTGCCAATATACTGACTTTTGAGTTAGTGTTTACTGGTCAGAAAGAAATAAATGGCAAGTGTATTTTTGCTTTGCAGTAATGTTTTGAGAAGGTTGGCTCTTGGAATGTAAAGTATTAATACATACTGTCCTAGCAATGTGCCTTCTTCAGATTTTGTGTTCAGTATAGTCCTTTTATCTATGCAGTTTCATCTGCATGTAACTGCAAAACTTTAAAGGTGGCTGCTTGCATATTTAAGTACTAGTAGTGGTTCCCATAGTAACGGTTTCATAGCTTTCTTAGGATTGGTTCCAAAGCTTAGTTAAGTCAATAGGGCTCTCCCTAGCTATTCCAATGGATATCTAATTATGCCATCTGTTACTTCCAAATTCTTATATTATGACTTGCCACATAGACCCATTCATGCACAGTGAAGGTTAAAATAATGATAGTGGTGTTTAATATATTTAATTTTTAGCAATCTTAGGAAAAGATGCCAGTTTCTCATCAAGTATTTTTCCCATAGGCAAAACAGTCATTTGAAAAAAATGCAAATTAGATTATTAGTCCTATCTTGTTACAGGCACCTGATAGATCCTGGTTGAAACGTTAAGTGTTATTGTACAAATAGTTTAAATATGATGAGTAGCAACATCACATTCCAGTTCACTATGTAAAATACATATTGTGAAGTTACCCAGAACTCATGTTGGCTGAGCATACTGTTCAGCATTTAGTGTAAAACATTTCTATCTAACATTTGTAATGTTTTTAAAATAACATAATTTTGCTATGATATTTGGCTAATGGGCTGTGGACAATTTTCTTTAAAGGACCTTAGAGTCTAATCTTGAAGTCTTGGTTTCAGTGTTTAACTTTTTCATGATTGATCCCTTTTAAAGAGATGCTGTCTCTTGTTCTTAACTTACCCATTCATTTTCATTTAGCAAGAGAAGGAGGAGCAACATCAGATGGCTGTTAATGCTTACTTAAAAAATTCAAGGAAAGAGCATCAACGTATCCTTGCTCGTCGTCAAACTATAGAAGAGAGAAAGGAGCGTCTGGAAAGTCTAAACATTCAGCGTGAAAAAGAAGAGCTGGAGCAACGTGAAGCTGAACTACAAAAAGTTCGTAAAGCTGAGGAAGAAAGGCTGCGCCAGGAGGCAAAGGAGAGAGAAAAGGAGCGTATTCTGCAGGAGCATGAACAAATCAAAAAGAAAACTGTTCGCGAAAGGTTGGAACAGATCAAGAAGACTGAACTGGGAGCCAAGGCATTCAAAGATATTGATATTGAAGTAAGCAATTAATTGGAGTATCAATTTTTTCCAGGTGCTTGTACAACTAACTTTCATGTTCTCCATCTGCTTTGTTCTCTCATTGCTATATGCAAGAAAATAATTTTCTGATTTAAAAATGAGACTATGCATTTGGGTGATTTTAAATATCTGATTTTGCTCAACCTCTGGAGTAAAACTGAACACTGAGCTTGACTAAAAGCTGTGTTCTAGTAGGAACGAAGGGAATTTTTTGAGAGGAGTCTAATGACTTCCTCTGTCTAGCTGTTTACATAGCAAATAAGATGTGACATAGACATCCAGATCCTTTGTGTGATGTCTGGACTCTGTCTTAAAATTCAGATTAGTGTCCATTAGATGCCTTTAAAAGTAACATACAGGTTGTACAATAGACACTCGCATAAGTGTAAAATGTTTCCACAGTCAGCCAATTTGAAGACTAAGTGAGAAACTGCAGAAAAGTTAAAGTAAATAGAGGAAGCTGCATTCATGCCAGGAAACAAACATTTGCTTTCTGTTCTGTTAATTATCTTTATCTGCTTTATAGGATCTTGAAGAATTGGACCCTGACTTCATTATGGCTAAACAGGTTGAACAGCTGGAGAAGGAAAAGAAAGAACTCCAAGAACGTCTGAAGAATCAGGAGAAGAAGGTATAGAGCAATGGTTCTCAGTTTTTTTAGACTCAAGGCACCCCTCCAAAAATGTTAAAAATAAATATAGTGTGCATATTGTAATACTGTAGTATGCATACTGGAATTCAATTATTTAAAAATAATTGGAGGCAGTTGATTAAATAATTATATTCGCACCAGAGCACAGCACAGCTTCTACAGAGCCAGGTCTGGAAACGGCTCTGGCAGCAGTGTGCAACCCTGCACAATGTCTCCTGGAAACGGAGGTGTGTGGAACAGTTCTGCCTAGTGGAAGTGGCATCTGTCTCCAGGCTGATGCCACCTTGGGGTGAAACTGCCCCACATGCCTCCTTTTTCAGGAGGCACGTCAGAGCTGAATCAAGAGCCTCCTGAAAAGAAATGCACAGGGCTGGAATCATGGCACCCAATTTGAGAACCACTGGTACAGAGTGATAAGAGGAATGGCTTGTCTCCACAGAAATGTATACAGTTATTATTACCTGTTGCAAACTCTATTATATTTGTTTGTGTACTCAGTTATATTGGTTTTAATACAATTATCTGTTTTCCTTGCCCCTGTGCATTCACTGGGGCAAATTATAAGCTGATAAAGGCAGGCTTACATTGATTTTCTGTCTGTATACAAATGTGCACTAGATGTGCACTGATACTTCAGTCTGTATCGTATCAGCACCAATGGAAGGAAAATTGACATAATTGGCAATTGGCTTTTTTTGGCTGATGTGGCTGATAATATTGCTGATAAATGCTGTGTGCATGCACGCAGCCACAGCATGGGAGTGGAGCTGGGGTATGTGCTGCTCAGGCAGGGCTCGGAACAGAGCCGTGAAAGGCTTGTCCGGGATGGGGGTGGGTGGGGGGGAGTGGATCCTGCTACTCTGCGCACCCCTGGAGAAGCAAATCTGTGAAGTACAAATGTTTTTAGCATACCAGGTTTGGTGCTTTTTTACATAAGATAGGTTAAAATTACATACATATTTATATATTTCTCTATTTAGATCGACTATTTTGAAAGAGCAAAACGCTTAGAAGAAATTCCTCTAATAAAGAGTGCCTATGAAGAACAAAGGGTTCATGATATGGAAATGTGGGAGCAGCAGGAAGAAGAAAGGGTAAGGAGTTTTCGTTTCATATGGCAGAATCATTTAGTAATTTGTATAAGAGCTGTATTTGTCGGCATGTTTGATGTGGAGGTTTTCAGTTTCTTACTGGTGGACAACAATACCCTTTTGCTTCAGCCAGGGTGGAGAGAGTAGGCAGCTATCTGAGATGCTGTCTTCAGTGATGGTCTATGAGTATTGAAAAAAATGTAATAAAGCTTTTTATCTTCTTTTACTACTTGTATTTTTATAGATCACCACTCTGCAGTTGGAACGTGAGAAAGCCCTTGAGCATAAGAACAGACTATCAAGGATGCTGGAAGATAGAGACTTATTTGTAGATAGGCTCAAGACAGCACGGCGATCAATTTATGAGGTGAACAAGATCCTCTGTGCTTGTTGTAAAAATGCTTCCATGAAGTACTAGACTTGATTTGTATCCTTACTGTTCCTCTTGAAAAGGATGAATGAGTTAGTGTATGCAGCTGGGGCGGGGGGGGGGGGGGGTTTTAGTTTATACCACTAATAGACAAAATTGGTGCTTGGCTCTCTTTCTGACTGTCCAGAAGAGCTTCATCATGAAGTTTCAGGGGATAATCCAAATTCAGAAAGTTAAACCTTTAAAAGGAAAAGATGGCTGCCACAATGTAACATTAAAACAACAGTTTTATAATTCAAGGGAGTTATCATATCCCAAAGCCTTTGTCTACATTTCACCATCTTTCATTGCAGGTTATGTTAAGAGTAGGGCTGGGAGGAGAGATGTTCACAAAACGATCTGGAAGATGGACCCATATCCCTTCCTAAGCACCATCACTGACATGGTGATACAGTTGTTTAGCAGGAGAAGTAAGCATTAAAAGCTGTATTTTAGCTCTTAATGCAGTGTGGAGCTGGAGATGAGGGAGCCAGAACCATATGACTAGTTAGTTCTTCGGGGCCACAAATAATACACAGGCTATAATTCAGAATCACAGAACTTCTTGGAGTAATATTGAAAATCTCTGTACTCTGAAGAACTGGCTTTATGTGATTTTTTTTGTGGCAGTAAATGTAATTCCTTCAAGATGAGCAGGAATCAAACCACTAACTGATTCTTCTCATAGGTAGGAGTTACATTGCTTCATTTCTAATTTGCAGAAACGAATTACTGGCTTGTAAAATGGCCAGTAGATAGGAAAAAAGATGGCTGTTGCAAAACATGGTGACACAGTCATTGTTTATCATCAGTGTGAAGTTAAGAAGTTATAACATGCTTGTGATTCTGGCATCTGATGAAGTCCGTAACCTCAGCAACTCTGAAGCTACTAAAAGTTAAGGACCGTTGGTTTTACTCCTGCTTTTCATTTGTTTTAGGAAAAATTGAAACAGTTCCAAGACAGGTTAGCAGAAGAAAGGCATACTCGTTTGGAGGAACGCAAAAAACAACGCAAAGAGGAGAGGCGGATTGCCTATTACAGAGAAAAAGAGGAGGAAGAGGAGAGACTGCGAGAGGAGCAGATGCTTAAAGGTAAAATTAAGACACTTGGATTGAATTAACAGACTAGAATTGTATCGCTCCTTGAACCACTGCCAAAACTTACAAGGTCAGTTTTAGGTTGCCCTATTCAATCATATTGGAGACAGTTTCTCTCTGATTAAGAAGGTTCACTATTCCTTATCAGCCATTGCATCTTATGAACTGAACTGTGCAGCCAGCCAACCAACCAACCTTCTGGCAGTCTCTCTGTGTGCACACGCAATGAAAAACAGAGACAGGTGTGTGAAGGGCGAGTGGGTGAGCTGAGGCAAATGTGGATGAAGGGCACATAGTGAAAGAGCATGAAAAAGTGGGATTTAGAGAGCCTTTGGTTTTGGGTTTTAAATTTGAGTTCTGGCAGTCATTTTGTACATAAGCCATTATGTTTTTCTTTTACTTGAGAGTTACTTGGTTACAAAAGAGGAATGCCATTGTTCATAAACTCTAAAATGCTTACCTCAGTTTTTTAGTGTGAAGAGGAGATTGAATCCTCTTTTCCTTCTATTCTAAACAATTAGAGAGGACTTGCTTTATTGTGTATTTAAACTTTCTTGAAAGAAAAATAATGTTTTACACATTCTTGTTGCAGAGCGTGAAGAGAAGGAACGTGTTGAACGTGAGAAACGTGAGCAAGAACAGCGTGAATACCAGGAGCGGGTCAGAAAACTAGAAGAAGTGGAGAGGAAAAAACGTCAAAGAGAACTGGAGATTGAAGAGAGAGAGCGTCGCAGAGAGGAGGAGAGAAGGGGTCTTGATGATCCATTTTCAAGAAAGGTAATGGTTCTGGTTTGTTTACAGATTGGTTACTTTTTCCTCTGCTAAAGGTTTGTAAGAAGTGGAAAATATAGCTCAGTTGTGTTAATGAAAGCAGTGCAGAGATATTTCGCCAAAAGGGAGAAATTAAAATATTTTGTTAATGGTTGGATATCAGCTATTTTCAGTTCACTCGGTGCAGGCCTCAGGAAACTACTGTTATGCCAGAGTACCGAGATTTTTTGAAGACTGAAAGGGTAGAAGGGATAGAGATTTTCGTTTGGTCAGCATGTATTTTGTGAAGCGCCTGTCTGAAATAAAACCGTAATGACATAAGATGAAGTTGTGAAGCACAAGAGCTCTTAAAGGAAAGCGAAAATATAATCCCAGGGTGGGAGCAGAAGTAGGAGGAAGGAGGGTGAGCCAAAAGACTCAGTGGCAGCCGCAGCAGGAGAGCAACAGAGGAAGATGTGCCTGAACAGGGAGTTTGGGGCCACATGTTAACTCTCCAGGGCTTCCAGTTGGACAGCTCTTGTATTGTCTTCTGCAGCTCATACAGAACTTCTATTCATTAACAATTGAAATGCTTTTTTCAAGAATAGTTATAAATTATATGCTTTTATTTGATAGAGGAAGGAGTGTTCATCTCTTTAAAAATAGGCTAAAGCTCAAATTGACACCTGCATCTAATATAATTGTACAAATACACATTTGTGTAAAGTGGGGTGCTTGATATGCAGAAATACTTTAGAGGCTCTTCACAATATTGCGGTCTCTAAAAGTTGTAGTCATGGGCATGTGCTATGTTAGGTCTGGACAGACACAAAAAAGTGAGAGGGATGTGTCCTGCCTCAATCTCTATAATGAAGGTATTGGATAAGAGCTCAGACTGAGAAGAGTGTAAGGAAACAGTGAAACATTGTGTTGTGGTAGAGAAGACCAGACCTTAAGGTGTTACATAGAAAGAATCTGCAAGATTTAGACACAGCCTGATTGTGAGGAATAGATGGTCGTCCAAATTGAGGATTATGTTGAAATTATGGGCCTGAGCGAACTTGTGGATCCAGGGTTTGAGAGTTCATTTGGGGCCATGTTGAACTGGAGGTCAAAGCAAAACATCTGTGAGATCTGGGGGAGAGGCCAAGATTTCAGTTTGGACAGAAGGAAGTAGGTGTGAAATAGTGGGGTAGGACTATAAACTGTTAGCATTAAGATGGTAATGGAATACATAGAGGTAAATTAAGGTCATCTATAGGGCAACCATATGGGACAATGAAATATGGGACATTGCTTCCCTCCCCCCCTGCTGCAGGCAGGACACCACTGGTATTAAGCTAAGGTGTCAACGGCCCTGTTAATGACCCTTTGTTCTTTGTCACAGGTGTTAACAGTCCACTTTGTAATGGTCTCCCATTAATCAACCTAACTTATTAGGGCAATTTTGGTGTCTGCTAGGGCTTCCTATTTCACAGCTCATGCCCAGGACGCTCGTTTTAATTTTCACCAGCCAACTGGGACCGGCCTCCGAAACCTGGGACTGTCCTGGCCAGTCCAGGACATACGGTCACCCTAGTCATCTCCCTGTTTAAAAAAAAGTTTTGTATCTAGAGTACTTCGAAACATTTGTCCTGCAAGGTTTTGTTTATTAGAAGGTCAAGTCATGAAATTAATAAATAGTACTTTGACCAGGCTAAGATCGATATCATTGGATGCCTGCTGCCATGCATGGTAGTAATGTAAAATGTCTTTGACTTAAGTATTGGTACATTAGGATTAAAATCTAGCTGCCAGTTTTTTATGGTACAGATTTGATCCTGTACTCATTAGATCTAATAAACGTTTTAATCTGTTAACCTCCCAGTGTTCAAAAACAGTGTACAGTGCCTTGCACGTTGGGGCCCCGTTTTTTGTTGTTTCTTAAGCTTTCCCACAACAAGCAAGATAACTATCAGGTAGGGCTGCTATTTAGCTCAGTGAACTTCATATTAGTCTGCTGTCCTGTAGAGTGCAACACTTGAATACTTGATGCCATGGCATGGGGTTAAGTGAATAAGCTGTGTGTAGAAATTGTGTGCACAACTCTGTATTTTAGAGTTACCAAAGAGGATGCTACTAAGTTGCAGCAGGGAAGTTGAGGTTTGATATTAGGAAAAACTCACTAGCAGGGTAGTAAAGTACTGGAACAGGTTACCTAGAGAGGTTGTGGAATCTCCAGCCTTGGGGGTTTTTAAGACTAGGCTAGACAAACCCTTGGCTGGGATGATCTAGTTGGGGTTGGTCCTGCTTTGAGTGGGGGGTTGGACTAGATGATCTCCTGAGGTCCCTTCCCACCCTAATTTTCTCTTCTCATTTATTTTGGTACATATAGGAGTCATCTCGCTGGGCAGACAGAGATGGTGAAAGCTGCTGGAGAAGAGGACCACCAGAAAGGTGTTTATAGAGAAATTGAGCACAATGTGTTTTGGGCCCAGCTTGTCGGCACTCTTACCATTGCTGTTTTCCAAGTTGCCTTCGCCACAAATATATATCTGTCTAGCATTTGCACCTTTGGAAGGTGCCTCCAGAGATTCTTTAAAATCCTTTGTGAGGATTCTAAAATTAGAGAAAAGGTGTGAGAAGCATAAATTTGGGAGGGGGGCAGAACATGATGAGATACATAAGGTAACAGACAACTCAGTTGTATGATTTCTCATGTGTTCTTTTATCTGGTAACTGAAATTGCATAAATTTCAAGGCTTAGTTAAACCATTTTAATTGTATCTAGTTGATACCAACAAGCATCTAATATATTGACAGCTGCTAAAAAGATTTTCCATTTGCTAAAAATCTGTAGTCTGTTCACAGCTGTTTTCTCTTGCATGATCTGCTGCAGAACTAAAAATGAGGGGATGAAAGTGACTAGATAAAGACTTTGCTGAAGAATTTGTAAGAAATTGAAAGATGTCAGGAAAACCCCAACAAAACCCCTGTAGGAGCAGAATTCAAAGCTTTGCAAGTGATTTAAGTTCAGGGTGGGTGAAAGGAGGGCTAAAGATGTATGCTCCAAACTGAAACAAAGATGCAAAAAAAAGGCCACTTTGAACAAAAATGAAAAGAAGTACTGCGAGTGGAGAGTTTAATGGAAGGATGTTTTGAAGCTGCTTATTTTTCCATGTCCAAATATTTAGGATGTTTGAACATGTTCACTGGTAGCTGAAATTTTCAACGAGGCTGCTTAAAGGGAGAAATAATAGGAGCTACTATGTGTCTAACAATTCAAAGTTTTGCTTTCCTTTTTCATGCTGTCACAATGAATCAAATCATATCATATCAAAATAGCCTTTGAAAACTTACACGAGGCTATTGAATATTATCTCGACTAATTCTTTTAACTTGACCCAACAGAGAAATTAGTAATCTAATTTTAATAGAGATGATGGACATAATTCTGGATTTTTTTATACACCTGAAGTCTCACTGACTTTAGTGAGAGTTTGGATGTCCAACCGGGGATTATGGTCTGTTTTTATAAACTATCACAATCCATGAGAAACTGAAACCCAGAGGGTATCTCCTTGTCCCAGGGCTACAAAAAAACATATGCACCATTTGCATCTTTATGGCAACTTATCATTTGTTCCTGACCACTGGTGAAGAAACTGCTTTTGGAAAATTAGTTTTCTTCCTATTTAGGAAAATTATTTGTTGTCAAATCTGTGGGTTGTTACCTGCAGGTGTAAATAAAACAGGAGCTACGTACTGGTGTGAGCACAGAATTACAATACATGGGCCACGTGTATGCAGGTCACTTGGAGAGGTTCTGCAGTCAGTGCTGTGCCTTGATGCATGATGAGGCAAAAATACTTTCGTTCTCAGTCAGTACTGTGCAGTCTTTGAGTGTTGAGGGTCAATCATATTTGAGCTGATACACACAGGATGAATATTACCATTTCCCTGCTCCCTTTGCACCAAGACGCTCTTGAGGGTATACTAAAACCTTGCAAATGCTATTGTCTGTAGCCACCTAGCAGAGGAAGTTTGGGGAGGAACAAACTGGAGTGTTCTGTGCTCTGACCACTCCAAGCTGGCGTAGCAGCAGCTGGTGTGACCCCAAGCCATTGTTCTGCAGGTGTGCAGGTAAACTGTGATTAACTAGATCGGGGCAGGCAATTATTTTGGGCAAAGGGCTGCTTACTGAGTTTCGGCAACCTGTTGAGGGCCACATGACAGGCAGCCCAGGGCAGATAAATGTTAATTTTCTAAATTTTTTAGGGGCCCCATGGGCTGGATAGAATGGCCTGGCGGGCCGCATCCGGCCCCTGGGCCGCATTTTGCTCACCCCTGAACTAGATGTTAGTCTGCAGCTTTTCTGGATTGCCATGTGTGGTGGTAGCAGGAGCCATGCTTTAAGAGGAATACACTTAGATACCAGTTCCTTTCCTGCTCTTATTAGACTCTCACAAACCTGCCTGGAAGCAGGCAGTAATTCAAGTCAGAGCTGTTCTTATCTTTGTAGTGCTGCAGTTCACCAGCAGGGAAGCTGCTTGAGACCTGCTCCTGGGGCCAGGCCTGTAGGACAGGTGATGCCTTCTGCCTCCTTACCATAGTCATAAGGCTGCTTGAACTTGAAAATAGTGATGGCATTGGGTTGGCAAATACCTTTACAGCCCCAATCTAAAAGCAATTTGCTGAAAATACCATTACTTGAACAAAGGTGTGCTGGCTGTAGCTGTGTTGGTTTAAGGACGTAGGCAGACAAGGTTCTTTGGGTGAATCTGGTATCTTTTATTAGACCAACTAAAGTAGTTTGAACAATTCTTCTTTGCAAGCTTTCAGGTACAAACGCCGTTCTTCTCACTCTAACGCATACATTTTTTCCTCCATGTAAACTCACTCTTTCTGTGTGGTTAATAGGGACTGGCGTCGGGGAGAAGCACGAGATGATGAAAGGCCCTTCCGACGCGGAGATGAACCAATTAGACGTGGGGGTGCTGATGAAAATGAACATCCTCCCTCAGAAACAACTGATGAGACGGGCCCCAGGCGTGAAGTGGATGAGGACAGGGGCCCCAGGCGTGAAGTGGATGAGGACAGGGGCCCCAGGCGTGAAGTGGATGAGGACAGGGGCCCCAGGCGTGAAGTGGATGAGGACAGGGGCCCCAGGCATGAAGTAGATGAGGACAGGGGCCCCAGGCGGGGCTTGGATGAGGACAGGGGGAGCTGGCGGGCTACAGATGAGGACAGGGGCCCCAGGCGTGGCCTGGATGAGGACAGGGGCCCCAGGCGTGGCCTGGATGAGGACAGGGGCCCCAGGCGTGGCCTGGATGAGGACAGGGGCCCCAGGCGTGGCCTGGATGAGGACAGGGGCCCCAGGCGTGGCCTGGATGAGGACAGGGGCCCCAGGCGTGGCCTGGATGAGGACAGGGGCCCCAGGCGTGGCCTGGATGAGGACAGGGGCCCCAGGCGTGGCCTGGATGAGGACAGGGGCCCCAGGCGTGGCCTGGATGAGGACAGGGGCCCCAGGCGTGGCCTGGATGAGGACAGGGGCCCCAGGCGTGGCCTGGATGAGGACAGGGGCCCCAGGCGTGGCCTGGATGAGGACAGGGGGCGCGGCCTGGATGAAGACAGGGGCAATTGGAGGGCTGCAGATGAGGACAGGGGCCCTAGGCGTGGCCTGGATGAGGACAGGGGCCCTAGGCGTGGCCTGGATGAGGATAGGGGCAGTTGGGGGGCCGCAGATGAGGACAGGGGCCCTAGGCGGGGCCTGGATGAGGACAGGGGCCCTAGGCGGGGCCTGGATGAGGATAGGGGCCCTAGGCGGGGCCTGGATGAAGACAGGGGCCCTAGGCGGGGCCTGGATGAGGACAGGGGCAGTTGGAGGGCTGCAGATGAGGACCGAGGTCCCAGGCGTGGGCTGGATGAGGACCGAGGTCCCAGGCGTGGGCTGGACGAGGACAGAATATTGAGACGAGATGAAGACAGAGGGCCCTGGCGTAGTTCAGATGAGGACCGACTCTCGAGACGTGATGACGACAGGGGTCTATGGCGTGGAGGGGATGATGACAGAGGTCCCAGACGTGGCGATGACTCAAGACCTGGTCCTTGGAGACCATTTGGTAAACCAGGTAGGAATAATTTGATAACTAAATGGTAGACTCCTTTGTAATGAAACCCGCTCCCAAAGCTAGATTCATTAACTATAATAAGATGCTGTATACTAAGAATTTGATCCTGGAGACAGGGTCTAGGTCTGTATTGGTGTAAGTGACTGTCTGATCAATTTGCATTCGTTTCTCTTCTCAATGAAACTTTTCTTTTGCTGATTTTTTTTTTTAAATCCACATTATGTAGAAAATATTAACGTGTATTCATTTGTTGTGAGAACTGCACATAGGATGATGTAGGCCCAAATTTCTATTTTTATTTGAAGGCATCCAAGTACAATGTCTAAGTGTAGACAGCTAACATGTTTTTGCCGTTTAAGCAGATTTTGGGTCCTATTTCTGCCAGTCATGCTGCAGTGCCCTCCATTAGTCTTGTTGAAGCTGATACAGAGGGGAAAAACCTGACTAGCTCAGTGAAATAGAAGTTGTCCTGGAAGCGAAGGGTCCCTGGCTTCTGCACCCAGGCCTGCCTCCCACTTTATCCAATGTCTATTAAACACCAAATGCAGAAACTTAATTTGAGGCAGAGCCAGAACTCCTTCTCCCAGGCCCTGGAGTTAGGGCACTTTGCTGGGAAGTGGGAGATGTAGGCTCTAACCCCTTCCTGGCAAGGGGATCCTAGAACCTTGGTCTCCCTGGGCAAGTGTCTTAGCCATTAGATTGTTGGGCTAAAATATGGGAGGATCCTTTTCCCCCTCCCTCTTCCCATTTTGGTTCTTAATCCATATAACTGGGGAAAATGCCTCCTGCACATGTACACTTATACATGCAAATAGCATTTCGTAGATGTTAATTGGAATAATTCAAATTTAACAACAGTAAGAGCAAGTCCAAAGAACCATGATTCCTAATAAAGTTCAGTTAGTCTAAAATCTTCTTCCTTGTAGGTTGCCACTGAGGACTCATTGGTTAAGGTTAGGCTAACTACATTCTTTTGCTTGTTTTTGCACATGCATCAGTAAGCTCTTGGAGAAGTTTTGGATGTGTGATTTGAGTAGAAAATACAGATTATGTTCAACCCTTTTTTGATCTTCAATAGAGAATATGGATCTTTTCTTTTAGGCATGTAATCAGGATTACAAACAAAAGGTCTTTTACCTTTTCTGTCCCTGTGTGGTTCCTTCTTGAATTCTGCACACGTCCTTGTCCACCTTGAATGAGTTATGCATGGGCAAAGGCTCAAGAGGAAAGCTACACTTTCTTTATGGTGGTGGTTTTCAACCTCTTGTCTGTGGACCCTAGGGGGTCTGCCAACTAAGGGGTCCATGAAAGATGACCATGATCAGTCGAAAGTATGTGAATACCCACACTTACAATTCACAGGGGTCTGCACCTCCATTCAAAATTTCCAAAAGGGTCTACACCTCCATTTGACTTTTTTTTTTTTAGAGGTCTGCAAATGAAAAAGGTTGAAAACCACTACTTCAAGGCAAACGAACAGTTTTCTTGACTCTCTGACTCCTTTTGTTATGTATAGGTGGGTGGAGAGAACGAGAAAAGGCTCGTGAAGACAGTTGGGGACCCCCAAGAGACTCCAGACCCTCAGCAGACCGAGAATGGGATAGAGATAAAGATCGTGATGAAAATGAAAGGGACCGTGATTTTGACAGAGATCGTGACTTTGATCGGGATGATCGTTTCCGACGCCCTAGGTTTGATTTTCTGTTTTTTACAAAAATCTGAGTATTGTTAAAACCACCAGCATTTTTAAAACGTGGTGGTGTGTAGATTTCTTAAAGGAGGAGAAGTGTGGCTTTTATGAAATCATATTATGAAGGAAATCTGAGTTGTAGGAAGCAATTACAGAATGTTTGCTATATGTAAACATTGTTGGAAGCCTTTATTACCAAAAGAGTTGATCTTGCATTGTAATGGAGAGGTCTTTAAGTCCTCTGATAAACTTAAGTGCCTTAGATGTCTGGGATGCTATTGCACTGCAAATGTTTGTCTTCCAACTGTCATTGTCCATTGCAGCAGAAGCCAGGATGTAAAGAGTTAAACCTAGTTTTTCATTTCCTTTTAAATGGCAAAAGGGAAGAAGCTGGTTGGAGGCGAGGACCAGCTGAGGAAACTTCCAGCTGGCGAGACGCATCTCGCCGAGATGAGTGGGACAGAGGTGGTCGTGATCTTAGAGATCGGCGTATTGATGACAGGGACAGAAGAGGACCTCCACTCAGAGTAGAACGGGAAGAACGTAAGAGTGTTTTCCTTTACCAGTTTAAATCTCGACAATAAGAGTGCTCGTTTGTATTAAGGCTTCTTTATGCTGCTTCAACCATGTAAGGTGGCTTTTAAGTGACTGCAGTATATTTTATTCCAACTTTAACATTTGTTTATAATATTAGAGTGACATAAAGGTAGCATGGCGTAAAGGAGTCTGTAGCAGTACCAGAAAATCTATTCCACCTACTACAGTAGTTGGCTGACATTCTGACAGGCTTCAAGCATGCACTTACACCCAAGTGGATTTAGTTGGGAACTCGAATGTGTTGGGATGTGATCCTACCTGATAGAATGACTCAGAAGGAGCAGCATAACACTTCTGAGTATGTGAGAGGAAGAGGATCTGACTCTTCATTTTTATTTTTTTTAATGTATAGATGCTTTCAAATACCAAACTGAGGTTGTATTTAATTTTATCCTTTCTGCTGAAATAAGTAATGTTTAACACAACAGTGTTTTGTAGCACTGTTCTGAGCAAGATGAAGTATTACAACCTAGTGACACTTCTGTTACTTTTGGAATTGCCTGAAAGTTGATAAAAATAGCTGGTAGTATTTTGAACCAGTATATGCTTGAAGTCCTCTCCACGTTGCCTTAACATTTTGATTTTTCAGTTTTAAGGATTTGTCCTGTTATGAAACTTTACCTCTTTCCAGACAGATATTGTAAGCTGTTTTCTTATGTTCTGGTGGTATTGGCTGCCTGAATTTTTGTTTTAATTTTGTGCTTGTTTCATGTACATTATCAGTGAATTTATGGTAGTGTTGATTCAGGAGATTGGGTTCTATTCTGAGCAGCTGAAAAGTGGTGAGGTCACCATTGGTTGGTTTCCATTACAGTGATATAAATTCAGACCTGGTTTATGATCTGGGACTGAAAGCACTTAGAAAATTGTGCAAGAGGGGAAGATAGACATCACTGAATTAAATTATCAGTGCTAGGCTTGGTGAGTGACTCAATTTTAATGCATGTCCTTGCATATTTTTAGCCAACTCATGGCGGCGTGGTGATGACAGGAGAGAAGAGCGTGGCGAAGAACGTGAAGCTGTGCGGCGACCTGCTCCTGCTTCTGCTTTGTCGCCTGCTCTTACTCCATCTCATGCTCCTCCTGCCCCTGCCCGTGCTGTTTCTCCTTCTTCTGCCCCTGCCCCTGACTCTGCCCCTGGCCCTGTCCCTCCCCCTGTTTCCAAGGAAGGAGAAAGAGATGGAGAGAAAGAGAAGGCTGCCTGGAAAACAGAAAAAGAGAAAGAATCCCTTCGTCGCATTAAAAATGAGACAGACGAAGATGGATGGACCACTGTACGGCGTTAAGTCAAAAACAAAATGCAATTTAAACAGGCATTTTAGCATTGATTTGGTGAAATCCACAGATTATATTTGTGCTTATAAACATTCTGAATTGGAGTTCTTTAACCAATATTTTGAGGTAACCTGAAAGCATGAGCCTGTATTACTTACTTGTATTTAGATTGATCATGCACAAAACTCACAGCAGAAGGTTGGGAATTGGATGCCAGGTTCTGAAATTTCAAATGTTGCTGATTTCACAGATTGTTACTAAACAAAAATGTGAACCCTGTGGTTAACTTGGGTAATACCTATATCTCAGACCAAAAAAACCCAGGCCTTTTAATTTTTAAATGAATATTTTTTCTTTATTGGAAATGAGGTATGATTCTCACAGAACATGCATTTGAAAATAAATCTCTGTTCACATCATGGTGGCATTATTGAAAAGGCAGAGCTGGATCCATTTCCATAATTGGCCAAATTGGTTAAAAACCTGTCCCCCTATTTAGGTATTTTTGAAGGCAGGAAGTTTTTGTGAGAGGTATTTTATCATTATCTAAATTCAGTAAGTTGTTTAAATTTGAATGAATTACAGTAAACATTATGACCGTTAGCTACACTGGGTTATTTTCTGTAGATTTTACTTGAATACGTATGCCTCTAAAGCCATTTTGCAGTCTTTGTTCTAATACTGAATACTGCTGCAGTGTAAAACAACAAAACATAAGGCTTTTGGAATTCAAGCATTTTGGTAAACATACGGCTATATATTTTCTGTTGCCAATAGCATAACTGCTTTCCATACTGGATAATTCATGCCTTTCAAGCATCTATAAATATTGTCATATTTAAAATGTGTGATTTTTGGAGGAAATGTTCAGATTCTCCAGTCCCATCCTGTCCCTGCCCCCCCATCCCCGCCCCTTCTCCCCTCCCCAATACTTTGTCTTCAGGGTAAATGCTTTTCCTCTCAACAAGTGCTTTGTGGTAATGGCTGCGTTGACTTCAATTTTGGGGTGCAGTAACAATGTCATTGATTAAGTAGCGGGGATTTTTGAAGCCAGCACAGAACTTACTGCTGTGTGTTTCTTCTTCAGTGATAAATAAACAACTTATGAAATTGGCTCTTGCTGTGTTTTGTCTTTAATTAAACTTTTTGCTATGTATTCAAGAAAATCAGCTGCTTAACTAGCTTCTGCTTCCCCCATGCATATTCTTTTCTGTCACTGTTGAAGAACATAGCTTGCCATTCAGATGTTTTTTTGACTGAAAGAGTGATGTAGTTGAGGCAAAAGTGAACTTGCATTTGTACATTGATGCTTTTGTCCTTTCCCAAGCATGTCCAATAGGGCTGTGTGAAACGGCACCGCTCTGTTTTGACTTGTGTTTCGACAGAACAGCATTTCGTTTCAAATTTCGTTTCAGTTCGAAACTGGTGTTCCGTTTCGTTTAGTTGAAACAGTTTTGCTGTTTCATTTCGCCCGTGGGCTACAATGGGGAAGCTTGAAACAGCCTATAACTTCATCATTTCTGGCCTGATTTGGATGAAACGTGCAGGAATGGTAGCCTGCCACGTTTTAAGGAGATAGGTGCAGGGGTTTCAGGGACACTGCACCTCGAAGTCTTGAAAGCAAAAAACGCATGTCGCATGTATGTGTTAAGCCACAGCGGGGACAAAACTGCAGGGATGCTAGCCCCTGCTGAGGCCACGAAGCCTGCCAAGTTTCAAGGAGATAGTTGCAGGGGTTTGGGGGGAACTGCACCTCAAGCTGTGGACAAGCAAAACTCATGGCATGGGTGACACTGTGTGTGTTAAGGCGCAGCAGGGTGAAAGCCACAGGCCTGCTAGCCCCTGCTGAGACCACAAAGCTTGCCAGCTGTCCAGGGGATAGGTGCAGGGGCTTCTGGGGCCCTGCACCTCTGGCTGCTGACAGGCAAAACTCGTGACATGGGTGGGTGACACTGCATGTGTGTTAAGGTGCGCCCTCACTCAACTGACACCAAGGCAGGAAGCAGGGCAGTTCAAACAATGCTGCCTTTTATGCAGGTTTCCATCCCTCTCCCAGAGCACTGGGGTTGGAGGGGACCTTGGGAAAGGATGGCAGTCACTGGCCAGCTACACTGTCAATAATGAGAGCACTCTTCCCCCTCCCTCTCCTTACTTTAGTTTCTTTCCCTGCAGGCAAGCCCAGCTTGAGCTTCAAAACGTTTCGACTTGCCTCATTTTGTTTTGAGCTCAAAATGAGTTGAAACAGCGTCAAAATGAAGAGGGGAGAAGGGATGTTGAAATGTGCTCAGAAAATTCCCCCTGCTCCTTTTTCATTACTTTCAAGGCACCTGAACATGCCTGCTCTGTTTTTACTAATTCTCTGCTCTTTGCATGAGTAAAGGGATTTAATACCAACAGCTCATTTGTAGTAAGTCACACAACTACAGTGAAATACATGCAGCGTTTTTGATCATTATGGTCAGACTCTTAAAAAGGTGCAGGTGGGAGAAAGTATCACATATCTGCTGCTTTCCAGGGAAGAGTTTATTAACACAAAATTATTACCCAGATTTGCTGGTAGATGGAAAATGCTGTTCAAGTAGCCCACATGGGAGTGGAGGAATACATCTTAATTAAACAAAATACAAAAATTAAAATATAAGTGCTCAGTAACAGATTCACTACTGCTGTTTTTCTGAGGGAAACTTAGCAGAATAAAAGTCAGATGGATGCTTCATAAAAGATAAGGTCTAATAAATCACAAACCTTCACCCTTTCTGTATCTCTTGCTGATATTGTTCAGCAGTTGGCTTGATTAGAAAGCACCGAATTTACCTGTCAGTCCTTTAATTACTGCTGCAAGCATAGCACTAGTATAATTGGTGGCTACTTTAAGCAGGTAGGCCTTGCAGTGTAGGAGTAAGTATCAAGATACAATGAAAGGAAGTTGTAAGCACACAGTTTTGAAGTGGAAGGGAGGAAGTGGTGCTGTAACAAACCAGGTCATTTCAGTGCTGGAAAGATCCCAGAAAAGCTAACATTGTTGCTTGTCCTACTGATACCAGGGCATGACTTTGAAGGACAGACCGTCACTTCTGCTACAGGTTGTCCTCTGTGCATCTAAAACATGGAACCAAGAGCACAAGTGCATGGTCTGGTTTCTCCCTCCTCCTGAAATTAAAAACCAAGATTGGTAACCTGTTATGTTCCTCTTGGCAAATGTTGTCTAGGGAAGAACTTGGATTCTAGCATTGAACATAGCGGATACAAGCAAAACCTCTGTGCACGGAGACACTGAGCTAAAACCTCACGCCAATTCCAATTTAAAAGTCTTGTGTGTTTCTGTGTAAAATCCTGCTAGTGTTTCAGTACACTTACTGTGGGTAAGCTGGGTGCTGCTACAGTAGTCCTTATATTCCAAAAGCATTTTTCTCATAAATCAGCACTTCAGTCTTTAACGGGTACCTCCCTCTGCTTACAGGAGCAAGAAATACAGCTGAAGTTGCACATATACTTGAATGTTAGCTCCATTAAACCAATGTAAGTGGCACAGGGAAGGTGGGTGGAAAGTGTGTGTTAAAAAAAGAACTGCAAAATCCCACACAGAAGTGCAGTGAATATGGTAGGTCGAGAAAGTCTGTAGTGGAAGCGTTCATCAACCAGCATCCATTACGAAGAAGGGAGATAACAAGTAAAGTTGGATTTGAAGAGGCACTTGCATTGAAGTCCAACAGTGCCTTCCGAACGTTATAGACAAAAAAGGCAATTCTTCACTCATTTACAAATTCGTTTTCTTGACTTTCAAGCTCTGCCATCATCCTAGCTGAGCCACCTTGTTTCTCCAGATTAAGTTTAGTAGCTGTCCTTTGACTCACTTAAGCATCCTCTCATGAATTTCTTTTGAGGGAGAGAGGCAAGGATTTCTTAGGATGATATTTTTATTGGACCAGTTTTGTAGTTGGCATAGTTAGACAAGCTTTTAAATGCAAGACGCTCTTTGTTAGGTCTCACTCTTAGGTTAGATGGCTGGCATCACATATTTGGCAGTACCTTTGAGTCTGTTTCATGGTCATGTCTTTTAGTTTAAGAACTCTCTCTCTAATTCAAGATCTTGTCTATCCCAACTACATAATTGGCCCAATAAAAGATACCATCTTAAGAAATTCTTGCCTAACAATTTTTGGACTGTCTCACTTCTTGGAATGTAGTGCAAGAGTGAAGATGCAATTCGCCTCCTCTTTCCTGCCCTGCAGCTGCATAAAATTCTGCCCTTTCCCAGCCCCATCCTACCTCCCTTCCTTTTCTCCAGCTCCTTCCCCCTCAAATATAAATACAGTTTAGTCTGAAACATAAAATGAAAACATACACACCCTCTGGACCTTACTTGGCACTCTAGGTGGGGTCCCCATCTCTCTGTCCCCCCTCATGCCAAGTTCATCAAACTCTACTTACAGTCACAGGAAGGGGAAGTTGAAGGACAGAAACTCCAGACTATCATTAACTTAACTGAAATCACACCCAAACATCTGCCCTCAGAACCAGAAATGCAGCCTCATCCTCTTTGAAGAAGCCACTTCTCACTGCTACTGGCCATAATCATCTCATAATCCTATCCTCCTCTTGGACTATGATTGGTCTCCTTGTTCTTCCTGGTTTTCTCACGGGGCAAGGTTCTCTGCTCTTTCCTATTCTCCTACAACAGTGGTCATCAATTGTCTTAGAAGATGCCAGCTCTTAGTTTTAACTCCTTTTTTGACTACCAAAAAATAACAGCAATTCTTTTGTTGCAAAGAACTCAGAAAGATCACAACAGGTTGGAAGGTTTTTAGCACTATGGATTCCTATTTGAACTCTGGGTTATCATGCTTGCATGCCCTATACTGCTGGACTTTGGATGACATCCTTGAGAGGACCTCCAGGCATCCCAGAGTGCAATGGAACCCTGGTTTTGACAGTCACTGTTCTATACCTTTTGCAAACCATTTCTATGTTGATGCTTTTAATATTATTGTGTCCAAACTGAAGTCTCAAGTAGTCTAAGATTTCTTTGGAAATATCTAGCTGTCAACTCACTTATGGTTAAAATCATCTTAATTTCCCTCAAGTTCCACCGTCTCCTTTCTAAACATCACCACTCAGCCCCAGAGTCTGGAAAACATCTTAAGACTCTGACCTTACTCTAGCTCTTCATATCCAGGTTGTTTCAGTTATGTTCACTCTTGTCCAGGTTCTCATCATCTTGCAGGGTGGCCACATTTTCCTTTGGTCTCATCTTGCCCTGCTAATATTATTCAGCCTGCTGCTACAAAGAGTTCTTCTAACCAATTGCTCTGACTAGATCACTTCATCATTTCAGCTCTTCACCGGCTCCCTCTTCTATCACAAGCCTAAGCTACTTGTCTTTGCTTTTAATACCAATCAATTTTCATTCAGGTCAACTGCTACCTCCAGCAATATCAGTCTTCGCTGGTCACTTAGATTTAAAATCAGGATCTATACTCCCCCCAAGGTTTAGTACGAGCCCCTTCTTTGTCTTGCCAGTCCATCCTTTCCTGTGATGTTTGTAGAGTACATCCTTTTGGCTACTGATGTGCTGAGAACACTGCCAACCACGATGCCAAGTGTCAGCAAGCTCTTAGGGGCTGGGACTGGTTTTCAGTGGACCTTGCACCGTAGGGCCCTCTTAAACGACTGTGGTTTTGGACACTGATATCGCAACTACAGGAGAGTGGTTTGAGCCCTGTGTTCATCTGTTAGCTTGGAAAATTGCTCATGTTCTGCAAAGTTTCAGAAGTTAAAGTCAGTTATTGTAGCAAAGGGGTGCTTCACTTGCAGCAACTGCAGATCACCTGAGCACAGTGACCTGTTACCCTTAGTCCCGGTTAGGAGAGAACCCTTGCCTGAAAGCGAACTCCAGGAGGACACTTGCCAGGTGCAAAACTGCTTGAATGTGTGTCTGCTCTTGTGTTCATTGCACTAAGTCAAGTGTGACACCACCCTAATTCAATATCCTTATCCCTCATGCAAGAATGTACTACGTTATGTAACATGCAGTCTGACAGCTGTAAAATTTGGCTTCAAGCAATAAGGCACGTGCAAGGTTTGTTGGATTTAGTGCGGGCTTTTCTGCTCTAATACTTTCGAGTTGGAAGCTGTCAGCTCTAAGCTGTAGTGCTATGTTGCACAAAGTAAGTAATACTACTCCCTTCTTGCACAAGAGGAGGAATGAGGATGTTTGTGCCTGGCACACACTAGCCAAGAGGTGCCTCTTTTATACTACAAGGAGTGGTGAACACCTTAATCTCCCCTCTTGCAATACCTCTTGGTTCACTTGAGTGAGCAAGAAAGCTTACATTCAGGAGATAGATGTTCCTAGATGGCAGCAATCTGACCCAAACTACAAGCAGCAAACCAGACGATTAGTGAGGTTCTCTGTGGAGTAAAAGAAGTCACCAGATAGATGCAGCCTGTTTCACTTCCCAAGCAGCCTCTACTGAGATGGGGCAGCAGAGGGCGTATTTCCCCTTCTTTTTTCCATTAAATGAGGTCTTACAAGTCTCTTTTTCCTCCAGGAGGATTCAAAACAGCAGCTTTCTGTTTACTTAAGGAGAAAGGAAAAAAGGATGAGCAGCAAGCAGCTGAGCTCATGGGAGCCACAACAATCTGTCAGGGGCAAGGACAGCCAGGAGCTTGGCACCTTATTCACGGAGAGGAATTCACCACTTTGTGGCTTTCACAGAAATTCTCCAGTTGAAGAACACGTATTTAAAAAAAATAAAATAAAAAAAATAAAAATAAATAAAGACCACTCCTCATGAAGCACAGGGCAACTGCAGGTACGGCCATTACAGCTCCCAGACCCATCTCTGGGAGGGAGCAGCTTGCCTACAGAAGCAAGGTCCAGGTGCGGGTGTGGGGAAAACAAGACAGAGGCAGCAGAGGTGAAGTCTGTGATGCCTTTACTTTCATTGTATAAAAACAAAAACAAAAAAACCCCAAATCCAAACAGCTCCATTGCCAGCTGTGGCCAGTACAGGCGATATGACCAACCGGGGAAAGCAGGGGATGGATGAAAAGGGGGGAGCATTGATTTTAGATGGATGGCTGGGGGGGGGGGGCCACCCCTTCCCTCCAATAACACAGTACAATGAAACCCAGATTTCATTTAAAAAACAAACAGCAAAACAAACACAAACAACAACTGGCGAGGGATCACAGCAGCTCCTCGCCCCCCCCCCC